ACAAGGCCTGATGAAGTTGAGCCCTCAAATTAGTTGTGCATAATTCCCAAACTATTAAATTAGGGTTGTCATATTTTGAACAGCAAAAAAGAGGACACATTTGCCAACTTCTACCTTTAACTACGGATTACTATGATGACGGGGGACGCGGGTGCCGCTGTGGGTTAAACCACAGAGCCTAGGACTTGCCAATCAGAAGGTCAGCGGTTCGAATCCCCGTGATGGGGTGAGCTTCCGTTGCTCGGTCCCTGCTTCTGCCAACCTAGCAGTTTGAAAGCACATCACAGTGCAAGTAGATAAATAGGTACCGCTCCGGTGGGAAGGTAAATGGTGTTTCTGTGTTCGCCAGAAGTGGCTTAGTCTTGCTGGCCATATGACCCGGAAGCTGTACGCCGGCTCCCTCGGCCAATAAAGCGAGATGAGCACCGCAACCCCAGAGTTGGCCACGACTGGACCTAATGGTCAGGGGTTCCTTTACCTTTACTATGATGACACTCATTTTAAATACCCCCACTATATGTAGGCTATAGAAGCTGTGATATATTGCTGAGTCCAAACACACACATTGTAACAAGGGGGCGGGGGCAGGGGGCAGGAGAAGAGAAGAGGAAAGCAAGTCTTCAGCCACCAGTTATTTCCATGTCTCATCCAGAAAGTATAGCCAGAGTTTTCAAAATCAGTTTTCAATCAATCTGCCATTCAAAGCAAATAAATGCAATTTGTCCCAGATACAAACACACTAAAACAACAACCCCAAAACATTTACGCAAAACAACACAACCAAATGCATTTGGTTTGTCATTGAAAGTATTGATTGTCTTACTGCGGGTTTTACTGAATTTTAAATAATCCCAATTTGACCTTGAAGGGACCAGTTGCTTCCAATTAAGAACTTCGGACATTAAGCAAACAAGCACTGTCAGTGACAAATCAAATATTTATTGCATGAGGAAAGAACAATATAAACAGTAGGTAATATTTACCACAGGCATCATTTTGAAGCATTGTGTGACTGTTGTTTATCTGCGCATCTATGCAAATGGTGTATAGATGGGAAATGCATACAGAAAAGCAAGAGGAGATTGCTATTGCATGATGCTGTCAGGAACCCAAAGGGGACTTGCAGAGAGAGTGCAGCTGGTAACAAAAAACATGGCAGACATGTTTAGCAGCAGAAAATTTTGGCTCAGGGTGACCCAACTGCATGTGGCCACTTCGTGCAATCCATCTAGGAAGCAGATGGCAAGATTTCTGGCCTGTAAATACTTTACCAAAGGTAGCCAACTAACACTCCAGTACCAAATAGTTCACTTGCAATGTAGACATCCCAATGGTTAATTCTTCTAGCTCATTTGTGTAAGGGTGGGAGTATCAAGCACAAGGCTCTTTGCTGCTGAGAAAACCTATGTTATTGATTTTGGATCCAGTGTTATTTGATCCAGAGAATCCTGTTTCCAGCATTTGCTGCAGCTTGCTAATACTGTTCAGTATTAGGACTGCTTGCAGAGAAGTTTGGTTGCTGGTCCCATAACAAAACTGAGGCAGCCCAGTTGTGGAATGCCAGCTCACCCTAATCCTGAGAAATCGCAGCAGCTTAACCAAGGAGCATGCAAAGCCACACCTGGGACTCAGTGCAACTAAAATGTTTTAAGTGTGTTTTAAGTGCAGTATACAATGTGACACTAGATGGTGATGGTAAGTCTCATGGAAAATTCTTTTTTTTAATTTTTTATAAATGATATTTATTCCAAATTTAAAGTTACAAAAAAGAAAAAGAAAAACCATACAAAATACAAAGAAAACTTTAGCCATAACAAAGCAAAAGATAAACGAGTAAAAAGAACAATAAGATAGAATAAAAAAGAAGACTTAACAAAAAATATAAAAATACATTAAGTTGAAATAAAACAAAAGCAGATTAAACCTTTACATAACCTTTTCCCTTTACTTATTTCCTCATGGAAAATTCAAATTTCCTCATGGAAAATGCTTTTTTTAAAAAGCATTTGCAGAACATTTTTCATATGTGTGTAGATGCTGCCCTGGAAATTTTCCCTGGTCTTGTCCATGGAAAGTGAATACGAATACTGACAATCATTCTGAACATTCAGCATGCACCTAAATTGGAGCAATGTTTCTCTTAAAGCAAAATGTGGACTTGAACTTGGAGTTTTCTTGTCCAAACAGCAAAATTATTTTTCTTCCTCTTTTAACAGATGTTTTATCTGGGCAAGAACCTCCAATTTGCCTCACTTTCTGTTTTGGTGGAACTCCGTAGCAATTTCAGGTTATGCAAAAGCAAAAATAAAAATTCACAAGTCCCATCACAACTCATTTTTCTTCATATGGATAAGACTAGGGGAAATTGTGTGAGTTTTGCATAACTCATGGTTGCTAATGAGCTTGGGCTAATGCAGTTTTCCCCAGGCAAATGTGGGGAAATCAGCTAAATCATGTAAAAATTTAGGTGACATTCAGGGAGCATTTGCCTCACAGTGGATTTGGAGATCAATCAGATTATTACTTTATGCTATCCATACCTGCAATGCCATATCAATGCAGAAACAGAAAAGTACGCTTCTGAAAAAGATAAACACTAATTGAATTTCACATGATTATTATTATTTTTTTGCTGCTTATTTGTTAAAAGATCCCTTCCTTTGTGCTTCTGTTAATTGTACAGACAAAAGTGGCTAAAAATTCCCAAATAGGCAGTTTAAATTGAGACTTGCATCTATGTATTTTGTTTAAAATATGTACAACTTGTAATAGACTCCTTTTATTTTTAAAAGGAGAGAAAGAAGTAATGAGCAGAAACCTCTGAAACAAAACAGAACAGTAGATGTGTTTTCTGTTAACAATGTTAACGGGAATCTGGAAAGTCAGGATTCTGGCATTCCTCAGTGTTACAGATACCAAAATAAAGCATCAAGACAGTTTAAAGGCTCCTTGCCCATCTAAGATCATGCCTGTGTGGGCTTAAGGTGCAGTTAATGTGTAATTACATGACGAGAAGCTGCCTGCTGCCTTAAAGGAGGCACTAGTGTGGCTTCTCCTAAAGAGGCCATGGCTGAATCCATAGGTTTATAGCAATGATTGCTCAGTTCCAAATTTCCCCTTTGTGGCATAGGTGTCAAAAAGTGGGTGGTGCAACTGCAGAGATTCTTGCAGGAGACTGATTCTCCAGACCCATTAGAATCTGGACTCAAGTCCGGTTTGGGAGCTCAATGGACCTTGGTCACCCTGTGGGATAAACTTTATTGGGAGAGGGACAGGGTGAGAGCAGCCCTTTAACTTCTTGATTTCTCTGTGGCTTCTGATGCCATTGACCATGGTCCTGGGGCACTCTTTTATAGAGGTTCTGATCTTCCCTATGGGGTTTGGGTCCAGGCAGTAGCATTAGAGAAGTGTCTCTCCACTCCTACTTGTATTCTGGAGTGCTGCAGGGACTATATTATTCCCGATGCTACAGATACCATTCACCATCTATACAAAGCCACTGGGAGCAGGCAATGGGGGTTTGCCAATGACGCTCAGCTCTACTTCTACATAACAGGTAGGGTGTTCTGGGTAAGTGCTTGGATGCAGTGGTGGGCAGGATGAAGATCAAGAAACTGAATTTGAATCCTGGCAAGATGGAAGCATTGTGGGTGAGTGGTTCTTATGTCCAGGAGGCAAGCCAGTTGCCTGTTCAGGACAGGATTGCACTCCCCCTAAAGGGGCAGGTACACCACCTGGGGTTGCTCCTGGATCCAGCCGTTTCTTGCGCCTCAGGTTACTTCAGCGGGTAGCCTCAATTGTTGTGTCAGCTCTGACTATTCCTGGATTGGGATACTTTGCTCTGGTGATTCAAGCACTGGTAACCCTGTGTTTGCATTGCTGCAATGTGCTGTATGTGGGGCTACTCTTGGGGCTAGCTGGTGCAGAATTCTGCAGTTTGTTGTTATTGGGTGTTGGCTAAGGACAATATATAGCACCTTTGTTGAAGGAGCTGTACTGGGCACAAATACACTACTGAGCTACTTTCAATATCTTGCTATTACTATTTGAAACCTTAAACATCCTGGCAGTATTCTTAAAAGATCTCCCTATTCCTTATATCTGTGTGATCTGTCACTGAAGCACATCTGACGGTGCCTGGCAGCGTCAGACTTTGCTGGACATGAAATTTGGGGTGCTGGCCCTGGAGTTATGGAACTCTTTACCTAATGAAATCAAGCTGGAACCATCTGCAATGAGTTTTGGGTGCCATCCTGGGAGTAGGTTATTTCAGCAAGCCTCCTTATGAAAATGATTTACTGTTTTTATAACCTCCTTGTCAGTTTCCCCATTATGCACTTCTGCTGTTTTGGTTTTAATTAAGATTTTGTACACCACAGAGATATATTTTTATATGAGTCCAAGCTACATGAATTGTTATTGTTGTTGTTGTTAGTCATTGTAACAATTGCATCTCACTAAAGGAAAATGTGGAAGGCATGGAGGAAATCTCTGTGCTCAGTCTGTAGGCCAGGAATGGCAAGCAGATTGGATGGTTGCAACTGACAACTTGGCAACAGTGATTTGTGGACATCTGGATCGAACTGCTTCTGTTTTAAAGCCTTGCACTCTCTGTATGTTTTCCTAGGTTTCAATTCTCAGCTTGCATATCGGTCAATAAACATGTATTACAAACTCACCATAATTTTCCAATATTCAGGGAAGGAAAATGACCCTTGCTAATGACTGTCGCTAACATTTCCTAGGCTTGATTAACTGCATGCTAAGACTATCAGATGTGAACACTGACCATCTCCAAAATAATTTTTGGGGTTGCTGTTCAGCAAAAACATTTCCTTGACATTATTGGCTTAACCACAATACTTAATGTGCCCTTTAAGAACGTAAGAAGAGAGTTGGATTGGGCCAATGGCAATGGGTTGGTTTAGAGGATTTCCTCATAAATGCTTGTTTGAACTTCACAAAGAAAATTTGCATATTTTGTGAAATATACAGGAACCCACCTACCTTACTAATTCCTAGTACCCCTATGGTTTCTATACCGTCTGAAGCTCTGCTTCAAACAATTAGGAAATGGAAAGATGTATGGCATCATGTATGAAGAATGCATAGCCATCCCTGAGAGTTATGATTAGGATCAAAACAGAAACCAGAGTTGGAATGGTAAGTATGCCCAAGCTAACATTAACATCACAAACTAAGGTTGAAATAAGTAGAGCTCCTTCAGTAAAAGACAATGCAAACTTAAATTACTTTAAATGCCGGTGGAAAATCAGCCTTTGACACAAGCTGAGGAAGACATAGCAACAAAATGTTCTTCTATTGAAGTCAGTGAGAGATTTGTTGTGGAGCCGAATTGGCTTATAGAAAGTGCTTTCAAAAACATAATCTTAAAACAATACAAAATGCCCCTTCCAAAATACACACTACATTTCCAGACATTGTTTTAAATTGGTCCCTGCTTTTGCAAATCTTTATTCTCCCTTGCTGTTCTGTTGGAAAATGGCAGCTCTTGATTATACGCTGCCTGCTGTTAACTGTTCAGAACTTGTTCCTTATTAGCCACGCCAACAACCAATCTTGTCATGAAACATTTTACTCTGATAAACTTACTGGAACTTTCGTTGTTTTATTTTTTTTTGTGGTTTCCAGAAAACATTTTCTTAAGAACTTCTTCATGTGAAGAACAGCTGTCTACCATATGGATTAGAAGTAAAATTGGCTTCTCCACCTCCATCTGATTTAAATGTGCAGAATGGTGCTGCACAATACTTCAGTCATATTTCTGAAAGTTGAGCAAAAGGGACTTTGCAAGACTCCGGAGGACTGTTAAGCCTTAGAACGGCTTGTTTATATCCTTTATACTCTTTCTGAGGATTTTTTAAGGAAGCTGTAACACTCAAGATCACACATGATCTGCACAACTCATTGAAGTCAATGGTGAAGCAGATGTGGAGGCACCTCTGTGGGGACAGTCAATTGAGCATTCTGTGGTGAATTCTAACTGGTGCTCGAAACCAGCAACTTATGCAGGATGTTCAGGGCAAAAGGCAATTATTTTGAGTCAGAAAACAACACTCTTACTCCTGGCGGAAGGCAGGAATGGGAAAGCCTTCTAAATTACTCTTAACAAAAGATTTGGCTGTATAATTATAGCAAACTTGGCTGCAAAATTGCTTTGGGGTGCAGATGGTGTAGAGTGGCAGCAGCAGCAGCCCCCTTGGCTATTCCACCTAAGACTCCCCCCTTCATGAGCACTTTGCTAAAAAAGAAGTTTTTGCTTATTTAATATATTATACAATTCATCATTAAAGGGAAATCTTGATCTGGTTTACAGAAACAATAATAAATATACACTAAATAAAACCATTTCAAAATGAAACCAGTATCACAGATAGTAACAGAAATATAGAATAGTAGGAAATGTTCAGGGAAAGCCCTTGCAGATAGGTGAGTTTTTAATTTGCATTAACAGTGCTCACTACTCAGGTCTTCCTGAATAACAGCCAGATGGGCAGGGTATGTATGTATGTATGTATAAATAAATAATAAAAATTATTATTATTATTATTATTATTATTATTATTATTATTGTTATTATTCTAGAGGATAGGAGCCACCATGGAAAAGGGCCGCTTTTATGTTGCAAACTGGTGCCGAGTTGTTCAAGGCTTTATATGTTAACAATATAACATTGAAGATAGTTGGGTAGCTAATAGGCAGTCAGTGTAGGTGTAATATATGTGTGGCCAGGTGCTCTACTCAGTGTATTATTTATTAAATTTGTATAGTGCCCTTCATCTGAAGATCACAGGGCAGCTCACAACTGATCTGGCCTCTTCCAGGTGAGATGTTATAGAGAAATTAAATATGGATCTACAATTTCATAGGTGAGTGAGGTCTAGATTTTTAATGAAGGGGGTTAAAGACTACCTTTTTCATGGTGACTGACAGGTAATAGTCCTACAGAAACATGCTCATTAGCAAGAGGGCTTTCTACAATTAGATACAACTAGGTAAGAAGGGCAGAGGTCTATAGCACAATTTAGAAACTTAAAATGAGCTCTTTTAACCAATGTTCACTTGGGCTCATCCTCAGTGTCCCATCACCTGTGCTCTAGTCAACGTCTCAATCATGCCACCTCCAGCAGCTCCTCAGAAATCAGTTTCAGATCTAAATCACAGGAAAGAATTTCAGCATCCTAAATCAAATCCTAATTTTGACTAGGGCTTCAGCACAAGAGCTTACTAGATTGACTTCTAAATCCCAAGAGCAATCTGGGAGTCCAGAGACACAAGCAGCATTTGGAGGCAGACTGATTCAGCAGCTGGGGTAGCTCAGTAGGTAGAGTGTGAGACTCTTCATCTCAGGTTCATGGGTTCAAGCCCCACGTGGGGCAGAAAAAGTCCTACGTTGCAGAGGATTGGACTAAATGATCCTTGTGGTCCCTTCCAACTCTATGATTCTGATTTAATCAGTTACCAACCACTTCAGAAGTTATTGAGCCCTGTGTCACCTGTTGTTGTTGTTTAGTCATTTAGTCGTGTCCGACTCTTCGTGACCCCCTGGACCAGAGCACGCCAGGCCCTCCTGTCTTCCACTGCCTCCCGCAGTTTGGTCAGGCTCATGTTTGTAGCTTCGAGAACACTGTCCAACCATCTCGTCCTCTGTTGTCCCCTTCTCCTTGCGTCCTCCATCTTTCCCAACATCAGGGTCTTTCCCAGGGAGTCTTCTCTTCTCATGAGGTGGCCAAAGTATTGGAGCCTCAGCTTCAGGATCTATCCTTCCAGTGAGCACTCAGGGCTGATTTCCTTCAGAATGGATAGGTTTGATCTTCTTGAGTTCATGGGACTCTCAAGAGTCTCCTCCAACACGAGAATTCAGAAGCATCATTTCTTCGGCGATCAGCCTTCTTTAGGGTCCAGCTCCCATACATCACTACTGGGAAAACCAGTGTCACCTATCATCACGCAATTCTTTAGCCATGGCACTCTGAAAGTTTTACCTACTCCCAGAACCCCATTGAAATATTCAAAGTAAAATACCATGTCATGAGTATGAGCAACAGAATATGTAGGGCCTAAATCACAAAGGAAAAGCATCGTGGTTACCATGACAGCCGTGGAGTCATGAGCTGTACCTGATAAGGTGGCCTCTGAATGAATCTGAATGCTGTAATCCTCCAGGACTAACAACTGAGAGTTCTTCGACACCAGGCTCGGGACCACCTCTATGAGCTCAGCCAGGCAGTTTGTAACATTCAATCTTAGTACGGTTTGTACATCTGCATTTGCTATTCAGACCAACTATAAAGTGAAACCAGCTTTTAAAAGAAGTTGTAATGGTTACATAGCATTTTTATTAGTGTATTAATATCACAATAAAGCTCTGCAGTAGATTTTGGCATAATCCAAGTGTTCTCTACAATTCCTTTGTATTTTCAAAAAAAAAGAAGACTACAAATGTGAACCAATATCCAGTTTCAGAAATTCAACCTGATGGATAATAATTTCCAGCAGGATGAAATTTATAGATGGCTGGTCTTTGGTGGGCAGCCCCATTTACACAACCATCCCCCCATGTTTCAGATCACATGTGAATATTCCCCAAGAGCATGGTAATTTCTGGTTATTGAGAATTATTATTTTTTAAATCCTCTATGAATGTATATAATCCATAAATACTTTTGAAGTGTAATTATTTCTTTTAGTTTAATATTGAATATTTTTATCTGTGTTAGTTACTTTATATAATGTAACATTTCTTAGCAAAATTCTCTAAGTGGGGCCTTTGAGACTTCCTAGGAATCCTGCTTCCCTCTTTTGTCATGGTTCTGAACCCTTCAATGCTACCCTTGTATTTGGATTTTTGAAAGTCTTAGATAGCCCATTTTAAAATATCAAAAAGAAGGTGCTTCGTGGAACATGGGGATCTGCTTTAGAAGTTTATTTAGGATGGCGTTTTCTGAAGTAATACATTATGTATGGAGACTTGCAAAAATCTGTGGATGAATGTTTATTGTGGGTACCTGCAATATCTTCTTTTGGTCTATTTCACCTTTCCCTCTTGCTCACCACACCCCTCTTTACACTCACCAACCAATGCACTATTCCCATATAAAGATTTGTTCATAGGAGCAAGAAAGATGATTCTCTTGGAGATTGAAGGCCAACTTGGACATAACTGAGAGGCTTTACATCCATGGTTATTGGTGAGCTGCAGAGCAGAATATTGGTGGAAGGCTGGTGGAAAACAAACCTGAAGAAAGTGAGTGAGGGCTTCACTTAATCAGCCCTATGGACACACAGGGGCACTGGTCTTAAGAGGGAAAACAGAAAAACCTGTTGTGGGTTGTGTTGTGGGTCTGGAACGAAAGGAGGAAACCTGGAGACTCTTGACATTAGCTGGTGTGAGTGCGTTGCAGAGAGTGGCACACTAGCATCTAAATCCCCAGGCCCCCTGTGTGCAAGCAGGGGGGAAACAGTCCCTGGAAGAGTTTGGGTAAAGCAGCCCAGGAGAAAGTATTAAACATCATTTCCCCGTGAATATAGTTCTTTACAACATTTTTTAAAATCCCATTCAATCGTGAAATGTTAAATTAAGGCCCCTCCAGACTACAGAGCAGTCATCATGATTTGTTTGTTATTATACAACAATGAGCATTCATCTTGTGTTCATCCTGATTTGCTTGCAGGATGTTTACCTTAGTCATTATCCCATACTGTTCAGTGCAGTTCCCAATCACTTTCCAAACCACAGAGTCCAATACTGTACTTTTTGTTTTTTTAAAGTGGCTTTGTTGCACGAGGGTGACAGAAGCCTCTAATCCACTTCAGCTGGACAAACCTAAAGTTCTGGTGTGCACTTATGAATCCTTCCTTCAAAATAGTGACAGGGCGAAGGCAAGCTCCCCTTTCATTTCCCAACTAGTTCTAAGCACGCTTCTACAGAAATGGTTTAGCAATGTCATCAGTGTTCACTGCCTGAAAGGCAATATATAATGTTCACAATATTAGTCATTTGTCTGCTTCTGCTAGTTATTATAAGCTTATTTCCAGATCTGGAGCCAGTTTTCCACACCACTTCTTCCTATGGGACTACATATCAGACCTCTTTCAGAAACACATTGCCACTTAATTGCAGGTCATCTACAATTTATTTTAAGCCTGGGGATCAAATGCCAGATGTCTTTGTACCTAAAGGTGGCATAGGTGAATAGGACCTAATTTGAGCCTTTGCTCAGTCCCAGACAGGAGAATTTGTGTTTGATGCTTTGGAACAAATGAAAAAATAATGAAGGAAAGTGGTGCTGAGAATGTACAGCTACCATAAGATGTGGCGACGGTTATGAGCTTAGGTGGCTTTTTAAAGGGGTTAGACAAATTTGTGGAAGAGACAGGTCTATCAGTAGTGGCTATTAGGCCTGGAAGTTAAGTGAAACCTTCAAGACTATTATCAGCATACTTCTGCCTACCAGATGCTAGAGGACAAAGAGAGAAAGAGAGAGAAAAATCAGAGGCTGTTGCCTTCATGTGCTGTTTCCAGTTTCCTCAGAGGCACCTGGCTGACCACTCTTAGGAACAGTATGTTAGACTGGATTCAACCGTGGTCTGTTTCAGTTGGACTCTTCATAGGCTTCTTTCACTGCAGAGGAACCATTGCCAGTGTGCCCTTGGCAGACTTGAATGCCAGCACTTCTCATTTCAGAAATGTGTTTGTATACATTTAAGGATGCATGTCTTACATGGATTTATTATATTTTATGCCCACCTTTCTTCTATGGAACTCAAAGTGTTTCTCTGCCCTTGCATTTTATCTCTGTAACAACCCTGTCAGGCAGCCATGGCTCAGTGACAGTAACCATGGGGTTTAAATTGAGAAGCACACCCTTAATCTAAAATATGAAATAAAATTGCACTCTTGCTTTTAACTTGCTTTTTGTCAGGTTTCTTTTGGCTGCCCCTTGCTAAGGCATTTGCCAGCCTCTCTTTATTTCATTTCCAATATATTTGCAGGAGTCAACTTACATTTCCTTAATGTCTGTTTACTTGAATATGTGTGACATGCTGACATGAACATGGAGAAAAGGTGTCATTACACCAGAATAAATGAAAGGCTGTATTTCTAACCTTAACATGTATAGAACTGATGCTACATTACATACAATGCAAGTGTAACTTTACTAATAGAAACTGTAGAAGTATGTGGGAACTCAGTAGAAGATGAAACAGAGTCCTGTGGCATCTTAAACATCTCTCCTATTTGTTTGTTTATTTATTTATTTATTTATACATACATACATACTTTCCCCCCTCCAACATCTGGTATCAACTGATTCTCTCCATCCTTTCAGCTGCCAGTGACTCTGGCACATCACTTGATTTTCTCGATTACTGTGACTTCATTTTTCACAGCTGAATCTGTGAACTGACCCCAATGGCTTCAGTTGGTGTAGAGACATGTCTGTGATGACCATTTTATATATTCAAGTCATCATGATGTCACAGTTATGAAGTATCTAACTTTGTGACTTGGTCAAGAATGAGTGAGCAAACTTCACTGGAAAGCATGACATTTGTGATATAAAAATTCTGCCCATGGCAGTAGATATCTGGCAGTCCATTCAAACAAACAAGCCTATAAAAACAAACCTGAACTAGACTTTTTAATTTTGCCAGATTTTCACCACTGATGAGCATTCACCTGTTTCCAAACCTGGCAGAACAGTACTATGAATATTAACCACAAATACGTCTCAATGTGTTTAAGGGACTTTCTCCCTAGTAAGTTTCAGATAGCAGCTCAGGTATATAGCAATCAGGTACAGAGAAATCAAATTATGCATATGTACATGTGAACTAGCCTTTTACATGCCACGACACCAGGCTGAAAGTCCTACTCAGAGTAGACCCATTTAAGTTAGTCATGTCTATTAACTTCAATGGGCCGATTCTGAGTCAGGCGAGGATTGAATACCACTTATTGAACTAAGCTTCTGCACACAAGACTTTCATCTACAACACTTTGCTCAAGCCAAATGTGACTTCAGGGACCATTCAAACAGAAACTGCATATCTAACCTATGGGATAATTCTTATTTTCCTACCTGCTACAGTGTCATGTTGGGATGCGGGTGGTGCTGTGGTCTAAACCACTGAGCCTAGGGCTTGCCGATTAGAAGGTTGGTGGTTCGAATCCCTGCGACGGGGTGAGCTCCCGTTGCTCGGTCCCTGCTCCTGCCAACCTAGCAGTTTGAAAACACGTCAAAGTGCAAGTAGATAAATAGGTACCGCTCTGGTGGGAAGGTAAACGGTGTTTCTGTGCGCTGCTCTGGTTCACTTAGTCATGCTGGCCACATGACCTGTACACTGGCTCCCTCGGCTAATAAAGTGAGATGAGCACCGCAACCCCAGAGTCGTCCGTGACTGGACTTAATAGTCAGGGGTCCATTTACCTTTTACAGTGTCATGTCAGATCCCACTCCATGCTGGTTCATGTTAAACGTATATTCTTGTGATGCATCCAAGCTCCCCAGTTTTTTTCTGTATGTATTCTCTAATTTATTATATTTTGACATTTTGAAATCTCTGTTCCCTTTCCCAAAAGCAATGGGCTGTGACTGCAATACTATGCACCTACTGAAGAGACAGTCCCATTGAAATCAGTGGAAATAAAGAAGTATTCCACACCATTTTATGGGAGTGTGTTTTGGACTAAACACCTCAGAAAATACCACCTTACTCGGATTATTCATTCAGTGGTGGTCTCAAGAGAATACTTCCAATTTCTGACAGTGGGTAGGTGAAGATAAATACGGTTGTGGAGAAACGAAGTTTGGCAGCACTTTGAATAAGCACTTAGGCAAATAAAGGCAAGATAACGTGATACAACTCTGAACAGAACAGAGCCACCCTGAGGCCTTTTAAAGCATGTGGCAGGATATAAATTGAATAAGCAAACAGAAATTAAGTAGAAGTTGCAGGAGAAAAACAGCATTTAAAATCTAAAATTCAACAGAACACTTGAATGTGGAAAAAAATTGCTTCACTGATAAAATTTCTCTGGATTGCAGGCTCAAGTTGTACATATGTATAAATAAACCATATGTCCTAAGGACACCAAAGTCTCTGCAGTGTTTCATCTGCAAAAGGAAACGCGAACTGTGCCTGGAACCCCTGGAATCTCACACCACTCTGAGATTGGGTGGCATGCAACAGTATGACCAACTGCGTGTATGTGTGAACTGATCCTCAGGGCTTCTTGCAAATACTCTGTATGTGTGTACTTGGAAGCTTGAGCGCTTATAATACACAGATGGTGCAATAGCAATACCATTCACTGAGTTCTTCTTTCTGGCAGGCCTCTGTACCTTTAAGAACTGTGTAAAAAGCAAAAAATGCAATACCTGCAAGCTTTCCCTTGGGGTCCCTTCCATCTCTACAATTCTATCATACGATGATTCCCAGAATTGAAATGGCAAGAACTCACTCAACTACGTAGGGAAGAACTGAATTCTACTTATCTGATGAATGGGAGACAACCACATTGTGTTTTTTCACCAATTGCACTCACCCTCTAAAATAATGGCCGGCCATATCTCAGCTCATTTGCTACTAATAAGTGTTATCTCTTATGCCAGGGGTAGGCAAGCTGCAATCTAGTGCTTCATGCAATCTGCAGTCTCTGCAAACCTCTGGCAAAAGCCATCTGTGCCTTCAATCCTAGCACTGGCTTTAGAAAGAAGAGAAACCAGTGGCTGCCCACTTTTGGCTCCAGCCCTGCCCACCTTCAGCCCTGCCCACTATCATGCAATGGACAAAAGGTTGCTCACCCCTGTTCCCTACTACCTCTGCATTCAAACACACTACAAATATCAGGTTGTAGCCAATGTTAGTCATACTCAGAGTATACTGGGAAGAAGGTTGATACATCTGAGTTTGGACACTACTCTGACTGACAATCAAGGGGCTTGTGCCCTGGCAAGTCTGTTGCAGGTTTGGGTGGATGCCTGCTATTTAAGAAGATATGCAGCTTTCGGGTACAGCCGAGTCAATGTGAGTGGGATTTCAAATCTAATTGTACTGTTACTGGTCTTCTTGAGATTTGTGCTAATCTTAAAGGGAGCTTGGTTCTGTAGCATACCCCATTCTGGGATGGGGGTGAAGTCAAACTGTTGAAAGGTTAGAGCACCTGCTGTGGCTGTAGAGACAGGGGCGAACAAAGACATCGTGACACCTGGGGTGGGGCGTCGCTACGTAGGGCGCAATGTGCGGCGTCGCTATGTATGCCGCATGCGCCGTACATAGCGACGCCACACATGTGCTGTACACATGTAGCGGTTTGCTGGCGCCGCCGCTCCAGTGCCGTGTGGACAGTGCCTATCCCTCTGTATAGCCGCAAATGGAGGATCCTCTACATGCGACTGTAGCGGTGACGGAGGGATCCCATCGCTGTCCGTACGGCGCTCAAACGTCGCTGGCAGTAAACCACTATGTACAGTGCATGTGCAGTGTCGTTACGTACAGAACATGTGTGTGACACTGCACGTGCACTGTGGCCACGAATGGAGGATTCTCCACATGTAGCTGTGGCAGCGCGATGGCTGTTTGCACCGCTGTGAGCCCCTGTGGGGTGCCTTCTTGTCAACCCCCCAGACATGGCACCCGGGGCGCACCCCCCCGTTGCGACGCCACTGTGTAGAGACCAATGCAGAAGAGACATGTTTTGTTGCAGCTGGGGCAAGTGAAGGCATGCACCATGCGCCATGCATGCACCATGCGTGAAGGCATGTGCCATGCGCCATGGTGCATCTGCTGCAGATACACCATGGCGTTTCTTCTCACTCCTCCTCTGGTCACTGTTATGGATGCACAACTTGACTGCCTGTCTCCAGGCACTGAGGTCACCTGCAAGGAATTCTCACATGGCGGGGTTGATGTTGCCGGCCTTCATGTCCCATTTGCAAACATCTTTGTAATGCAGAGTTGGTCTTCCAACAGTCCTGGTGCCTGAAGCCAGCTCCTTGGGGATCCTGCCACCTTCCATTCTGTGGACATGACCAGGCCAGTTCTTTTGCCTAGGCTGCAGAAATGCTTAAGAGTAGTATTTTTTAAAAGTGTTCTAAGGGAGTATGAGTAGGCTAAAGTAACTATCCGGGGAATGGGGGGAAAGAGTCAGGAGTCCTATAACAATAACAGCTGCTTTGGAACCATAAATGCAACAGGTGATGCTCTCTCCATCACCACCACATTCCCTTGCTGCATGTACCTGCAGCATTTCTGCCCACCGTGCAGCAATTAAAAAAGGCACAGGAGCCCAGCTGCTGAAAACATCCTGCCTCAGGCCCTGTTGATGCATTCAGCAGAATCGAGCGGTATTTCTCTCTGCCCCGCCAGGACCACTTTAAGTTGTGGGTGGGAGTTTACATTTCTGAATGTTTCTGCAAGGGACAAAAATAAAGTAATACAGTGGTACCTCAGGTTAAGAACTTAATTCGTTCCGGAGGTCCGTTCTTAACCTGAAACTGTTCTTAACCTGAAGCACAATTTCTGTTCTCATCCTGAAGCAAAGTTCTTCACCTGAGGTACTATTTCTGGGTTAGCGGAGTCTGTAACCTGAAGCGTATGTAACCCGAGGTACCACTGTAAAAGCAGTGGGAGCAGTCTTGGTCTATTAATGTGTATTATTTAAAGAATTAGGTGCTTATCCACCCTTCCTTCTAAAAGCCCAGCGTGGCATTAGAAAAATTCCAAAATCCAGAGTTGGGCAATATAATTATTGGAATAGTCAAGCTAAGTGTGACAAAGTCGTGAGCACGACTTTGAGTTCTCCAGCCAAGACACCAAGCTAAGGTGGGGAGGATGGGGGTGAGCTTAACACTCAAGTCAGTTGTTTTTGTCCCTGCTCTCCCATTTTATTTACATCCATCCTCATTATGTGTCCTGCAGAACTGGAGTGATACCTCACTGTTTTATCAAATGCTGGGTGGGACTAATAAAGGTATTGCTGCACTGTAGATGTGGGGATTTCCCCACCCCATTATAAAAATAAAAACCCTCCCCTGAATATAGAACCATAGAATCCTGAGGGCCATCTAGTCCAGCCCCTGCAATGCAGGAATCCTGCCCACAGGATGGAACCCCCAACCTCCTGGTTAACAGCCAGGCCCACTGAGCCACAGAGTGTAGAAACATGGGCATACTCACTGGCAGGAAAGCTAGCATAGGAGAGATCAGGGTTCAAATCCTCCCTTGGCCATTATGCTCACTGGGTGACCTCAGGCGGTCACTCACCCTCTCAGCCTAACCCACCTCACAGGGCTGTTGAGAGGAGATGTATGGACTCTGTGCCCTTGGCGGAAAAGTGGGCTGTATCTTTGCAAACTAGTGATGTATGGAAGTGAGAGCTGGACCATAAAGAAGGCTGATCGCTGAAGAATCGATGCTTTTGAATTCTGGTGCTGGAGGAGGCTCTTGAGAGTCCCATGGACTGCAAGAAGATCAAACCTCTCCATCCTTAAGGAAATCAGCCCTGAGTGCTCGCTGGAAGGACAGATCCTGAAGCTGAGGCTCCAATACTTTGGCCACCTCATGAGAAGAGAAGACTCCCTGGAAAAGACCCTGATGTTGGGAAAGATGGAGGGCACAAGGAGAAGGGGACGGCAGAGGACCAGATGGTGGGACAGTGTTCTCGAAGCTACAAACATGAGTTTGACCAAACTGCGGGAGGCAGTGGAAGACAGGAGTGCCTGGCGTGCTCTGGTCCAGGGGGTCACGAAGAGGCGGACACGACTAAACGACTCAACAACAACATCTTTGCAAACGGATAACTAGATAAAGCGTCTTGCTCGTTTTCTAGGGGCAGGGCGTTCCGCAGGCCAGCCTCTCTGTCTGCTCCTCCAGCCACTGGCTCGACCAAAGGGGGTCTCGGAGGGGCCCGCTGACGCGTGGCCCCGCGCTCGGGCGTGCTCGCTGCCCGCGTCCCGCCCGCCTGCTGCCTCGGGGCTTCCCCCGCTGAGCCTGGGCGCGTGTCGCCGGCTCCGCGCCCGCCTCTCCCTCCCCGCCCCCGGCGGAGGCGGCTGGCCCGCCGGTGTCTGCGGGGGTCCCTGCGCCCTTCGCGCTTCCGTCGGTCTCTCTCTGGACTGGCTTGGAGGAGAGGCGGGGAGAGAGAGAGAGAGAGAGAGGAGGGGAGTGTTGGCTAAACACTTTCTTACCGTAAGAGGGAGTTGGGACCCGGAGCTTTCCAGTTAATCACACAACAAAACTTGGCTCATCGCAATAAAAGCAGCAGCTCGGCTCGCTCCGTCTCCTCTCTTGGCCGGCTGGGCATCTCCTCTTCCCTCCTGGCGACCGAAGCCCCCCCAGCCCCCATGTGGACCTGCCAGCTCTTGCCCCTCGGACTCTTCCTTCACTCCATCAGCAGCATCCCTTGGGCAGGTTAGTTCGGCTCCTGGTTTTCTTTTCCCCCCAAGGAGCTGGTCGGTCGTTTCCCACTCGGGACTTCTTGCCTTTTCGTTTTCTTTTTAAAACAAATGTGCTTGTTGCGTGCATTGAAAGTTCCCCACGTTTGTGTCGGAAACACGCGCACACGTGCGTGTGAACGCGCGCCAATATGCATTTACGGGAGAGGGGGGATATTGAGAATTTTCTGTGCTTATGATGTATCCAAATGCATGACGAGAAGTATTTCGATTTTTTTTTTCTGGCGAGGGATGTCCGGAGGGCGAATGAACGTGTGAAAAGCGCCCGGCAACTAATGGGTTAAGTTTGTTTTGCGAAGTCCCCTCCCGGGACAGATCTGAAGCTACACCCCCTGATCCGTGTCCCAGGACGCTTGTAGTAGGGCATCAAATCATTCAGGTGTCTGGATCGAATATGGTTCCCTTTTATCCATGCCAGAAAGTGGCAGGGAAATAAAAATCTGCCTCAAAGCAAACCCCGTTATCCTCTCTGAGCAAGTGAGGGACCAGTGGGAGACTGGCTGGGTTAGAAATCAAAACAGAAATGTATTTTGCCCCACCTAACTGTTCCTGTAAATACAGTAGATCTAAAAAGACTTCATGGATCTGTGCAGGAAGAGAACTCTCTGTGGATGTTGCTGCAGAATTCGTCTTGTTCTGTATAAAGGCACTCTCTGCCCCCCCCAAACCCCCCATGTGCACAGTTTTCGGAGCCCAAAGACCTACATATGTGCAATCTTTGTGAACTGGGCAGATTAGCAGATCTAAGGGAAAGCGGGAGAGTTATTTCACTGCTTGTTTCTAGGCTCTCTCAGCTGTGATGGGGCAAGAGGAAACATCTGTCCCTTATTGCAGTGTAATTGATTACATGTTAAGCAGTATGAGGACAACAGTGAGCATCCTAACCTCAGGAGACCTAGTTCCAAGGCTTGGAACGAACACCTAAATGAGGGCCATGTCCTTGTGTGTGCCCAGTGCAGTAAACTGTCTATTTCTGGACCCAGTTAATTAACATTTCATCTCCGAGCCAATCAAGTTCCCGGGGCTGTGGAAAGTAGGAAGAGCAAACAATAAGCAATCAACAACTGGAAACTGCTGACTTGGTTTTTTGTTTTCTGAGTGTCTTCCATGGGACTGAAACACTGGAGGGATGGGGCTTGTATTTCTCCGTTGTTTGGGGGATATTTTTTATTATAAAGGAAACACGTTGGGTTTTTGTCTCTCTCTTTTTTGAAGTTAGCTAAGGCAAATGTTGTGGAAACAGATATACCTGCTTATCGGTTTGGAACCACGTGTACCTTTTTTGTAGATAACTTTGACAGCATGATAGAGGCACTTTGCTAACTTCCTCTAATTTATTTATACATCTTATTAATGCAGCTTATTTATACAGCTGTGAAGAGTTGATAGTCCAGTAGTTTGTCTGATACGAAGTGCTTTTTCTATTTATTTATTTTAATGATGGTCCAGGTGAACTTTAGTTTCCGTCTCACTAACATGATCTCCCCCGTATTTTCAGCATCCTTCTTGTCCTACGCCCTCTCTCTCCTGCAATCACTTTTAACATTTGATCCCAGTTAATTTGATTTAGGATGAAGACAAGTTTTTATTTCATTTCCATCCCCAAAGTGCATCCTTGGATGGACAAATTCTATTTTATTTCAGTCTTATTTTCTCAGAATGTAAATATTTCACATGCTGGGAAAAACAATAGATTGACTCCATACAGTATTATAAACACAAATATCCCCCCCATACCATTTATTTTCTTTATTTTCTTCTTCTTTTTGTTATGGAAAGTGTTACTTTAATTTTTGCTACAGGGTTTGTATTAACATTCTTAATACCAGCTCTCAAAGAAATAGAAACTCCAGAAGCTAATCTAGCTGATCACTGCAAACGTCTAGGAATCAAATAGTCTTATTACATCATGGTTATTCTGCTGTTGGATGTCTGGGTTGGTCTTGGATTGATCAAGTTTTAAATATATAAACATAAATGTTTATACTTGCAAAGTAGGTTTTTGTTTGTTTCAGCCAAGAGCAAGACCTCTGTTATACATCACACCTTATTTGAATTGCATCACGTTCTTGAGGGCATGTGGGAGGGCAACTTCAATGCATGCTGACTTTTTCATTTGTGAGTTGCTCTAGATTATCTGAATCTCTTTCAGTATATATGTGAATATAAGTTATGAAAAATCACAGATAAAAGTTTGTGACACTTCCCCGAGCTTTTAGAAAATCTGTTGTCTATATATCTTAGTGACTGTAGATTATAATTGCTCCTAAATATATTTTTGTGATAAACTAATTAAAAACATTACCCCCTTTTAAACCTTATATTTTGGATTTATTAAATTATGGTAACACTTTGGTGGTAGAATCTCTTGGCCAAATTTCTTCATAGTGGATTAATGCTACACTCATAGCTCAACCCTGTGCATTAGATTAGTTTGAGAGAGAATTATTAAGTCAAGGCCATCTTTGAGTTGTAATAGGAATCTGCTGCATCCCATTCTCTCTGCTAATGTGCTGTATTTGATGTGCACCAGGAGAACTGGGAACTGTAGACTTTTAAATTGTGCTGACCTCACAAATTCCCACCACCCTTAGCAAACTGCCGTTCCCAGGATTTCCCCTGGCTATTAAAGAGGTGTAAGAGTGCTTTAAATGTATGGTGTGGATGCTTTTGCCACAACCTCTCCAGAGTACTCAGACTTTGAGTGTGTAAATAAACCACCTAACAAGGAAGCTGAGTTTCCTGCAAACATGCCTGCTCCTGGTCACATTTCATGGCATTTTCCATGTGACTCATGTTGCCACACATCACAGATGAAGAAAATCTGAACTTTGGTCAATCAAAATATTCAGAAGCATAGTAGAGATTTTGCTGTGTCTTGTTGGCTCTGTGTTTACATAACTACATGTCATTAGCCTGCAGTGATTTATTCTTTCAGCTGTAGATTATTATTATGCCGTATGCTGTCAGCAGTTAAAATGATATTCTGCCAGTCTGAAGACTGTATTCTTTTTGGATAATGGAATCCATTCGGTGCAAAGTGCCAATAGCTGCTTATTGGTCACACACACACACACACACACACACACACACACACACACTCTGGGGGGGGGGAGTTCTAAAGCACAGAGCATTTGATCCCCTTTATCAGAGTTTCCCCCTCCACTTTTCCTATTTAAAGCTATTTTTGTGAGGAGAGCAGCATGAGGAAAGTGGAGCTGAAGGGCTCAAGATTAGGATGTTGCGTAAAAACTGGAAAATCATCCACTGAAATCAAAGAAAGGAAAGCCTCTTAGTGGGGAAAGCTTATCTCACTCTATAACATGGTCTAAAGCTAGAGTGGAAATGTGCATTCTCTGTTATAGAGTGAGGGATCTCTGCTTCTGAGGGCTGATGGATGGGTGTGTGAAGGCTGTTCCTCATGAAACTTTTTTTTTTCTTTTTAATGGGTACAGATATCAGAGAACAAAGTGCACACACACAGATTTTAAAAGGCAGGAAAATGACAGCTTTGCTGCAGGGTTTTTTTTTTTTAAAAAAAACACCCCAATGTGTCTACTGTGAGCAAAACGTAGTTGAACACCACACATAATGATCAAGAATACAGAAGAACAAGCCTTGCTGGAGCAGAACCAATATGGCTTTTGCAAGGGTAATTCCAATCCAAAGGATGGCACCAAGGAATCCTAAGTAAGCTTAGCAGTCATGGGATAGCAAGTGGCAAATGCATTTCAGTGTAAACAACTGTAAAGTGATGCATCTCAGGGTAAAAAAGAAAAAGAAAATTAGATATACAAAAATGGCTGGTGCAGAGCAAGAAGAAACTTGCTGTCAGAAGCCCTTGAACGCTGTTATTTGACCAGAATTAGCTATTTTTTGGAACAGCAAGTTTTGCAGTCTATAGTCATGGATACAGAGGACAATGTTGGTGCTGATAACCAGACTCCAATAAGCAGGCAGTCCAGACCTGGGGGTGTGGGGTAGGGAACAAGCAGAATTCAAGAGGGAAACTGCTTGTGGGGAATTGTGCTCACGTTGATTCTGTTTGCAGTTTTTCAAATAGGCATATTGGAACACCTCGGCTTCAAATGCACATGCCATCTTTAGTTAATATGATCTGATAAATATTGTACCCATTATAAGAAATCCACAGTGCTGGAAAGGAATCCAGTGGATATTCAATCACAGGGATAGCCAATTTGGGGCTTCCGGCTCCCCAAATCCCTGACCATTGATTCTGATGGCCAAGGCTGATGGACATTTAGTCCACAACACCTGGAACGCACACACTGAATGGTAATATAGAGTAAGGCAGTTGTGCAGCTTGGGAGGGTGTGGCCCCAGGTACATTTTTTTGAGGTAGAACTAGATGCCCCCACGACAGGCTCCATCACTGAGGCCAGAGCTGCGGGGAAGGAAGCTGCACCCGGACTGGGCCTTTGGGGCCTGGATCCGGAATGCAAGGGAGCTGTGGAGGCAGCTTCCTTGTGCGATGGTCCAATGCTGCCGGCCTAAGCTGCCCAATGAGTTCGTGCTGGATGTGATAATTGAAACAAGGACTTCCTACTTCTCAGACCATTCTCATAGAGAAGGTATGGGGAACTGTTGGTCCTTTGGATGTTGCTGTACTACAACTCCCATAATATGGATGGGTCATTCTTCTTGGGATTGATGGGAGTTGTAGGGCCAAAGGTTCTCCACACCTGTCATAGTGGCATGTCATGTCAGTGATTGTTGTGTTTGGTAAGCAATTGTTTTGCCTACGCTATCACACATTGTGAACTTGATTGATCAGGGAGCACATCATATAGAAAGATGCACATATGTAAAGCTGGGGAATAGGTATGGCCATTCATTGTTCCAAACACAGGAGGGGATGTGTTGATTCTTCCTCTTTCCTCCCGGCCCTCATTTCTTAATTTGGTATGTATTTCTGTATAACTCAGCTCAGGAAAATGTCACGGTGAGCTAACATTTTTTAATGAAGTCCTTCTGTGGGTTGTTCACTGTGCAGTAGTATTTATTCACTTCTGCTTTCAACTATTGTTGCTTTTTCAACCTGTCATCATCATTCATTTTTTCTGTGTGTAGGACCTTGTGCACATATTATCCTCCTGGTCTTCTGAAGCTAGCCTGCCCAAACCAAACTACTTAGCTAGAAATGAGGGAGGTTAGCTTTAACAAAGCAGTGCAGGGACTTCACAGAAGAATGACACTTCTCAAGTATTAAACCTGTTCCTTTGCATTTCTACACAACTGCTGCTGTGGTAATTTGAACTAGTGCAAGTGGAGAGCCATAGAATGGGGAGTTACATTTAATACTCACTGGATGTATGTCTTGCTTCATCCCTCGCCCTGATTCCAGCTGGGATGCCCAGGGAACTGGAGCCATCCCACCAATTGTTGTGTTCAGGGTTTCTTGGATGTGATACCCTGCCACACTATTACCCTTCCAGATTCTCCTTCCCAAGCAATATGGATGAATATGAATCACATCATGCGCTTGCGCAGATGCAGTGTTGCGGGTTGCGAACACTGCAGGTTGCGAACGTGCCTCCCGCACAGATCATGTTCGCAACCCGAGGTATGACTGTAGTTAGTAAGTTTAGGGGCTAATGACCACAGAGCTGTATTGCTGGTAGGCAGAGACTCAGACCATAGAAATGTAATTGGTAAAGAGAGGGCTCTGTGTGATGTCATTTCCCCTTTTCTCTTGAGCAGGAAGAATCAAAGAAGTATTTCCTGTGTCTTCCCTCCCATTTTCTTCCTTGGACCAGCAAGGGGGCAGACATGCCCTCCACGTGCTCCAGCCCAGGCATATGCCTGTTTCTACTGCAAGTATAAGTAATTTATCTGCATAGTTTTTAGTACTGCTGTAGCTGAGAACTGATGCATGACTATAAGTAAATAAATCATATTTTAAACTTACTCCCCAGTCTGCTGTCTGATTCTTTGTTAGGTGGGGTAAGAAAAGCAGGAGCCAGCTTAGTTTGGAGCTGGACTTGTTCAAATCAATGCTTTATAGCAGGGGGCCGGTCCACTGCCCCTCAGACCTTGTGGGGGGCTGGACTATTTTTTTGGGGGGGGGATTATGGAAGAGCACCTCAAGCCCTGGTCCACTGTCCCTCAGACCTTGTGGAAGAGCACCACAAGCCCCGGTGGCTGCTTACCTGTGTCTTGTGAGCGGCAGGGGCTGGCAGTGGCTGAGGGCTCCAGAGAGGGGCTGCTTAAAATGGTGGCTACTGAAGTGCTGCTGCTGCTGGCACCAACAAAGCCCTGCCCCCTTCCTCCTCTAGGCAGGGCGGGGGGGAGCCAGGAGGAGGGAGGGAGGGAGGAGGTGCCGCTGTTGCCGCTTTGTGAGGGAGAGGGAAAGAACGTGCATGCTGGTGATCCACACAGCGATCCGCAGGCCGGATCCAGAAGGCAATTGGGCCTGATCTGGCCCACGAAACTTAGTTTGCCTTCCCATGCTTTACAGCCTAATTCCCATGCTTCAGTTTTGTTACTAAGGATGGGACTTCAAACTCTGTTCAACCAACACACATGGGTGCCTGGAGAGATAAATTCTAATTAAACTATCCTCTCTCACCTATTAAAACCCACTCCTCAGGACTAAGATAAGAAAATCGCAAAAGCAATTCTAGGGGTTGGATATGGAATTTGACTTGGGCTGAGGACACTTGAATTCAAACCCAATGGAGTGCACAGCCTACTTATATTCATTAGCAGAATAAAAACAAAAATGGCACCAGTCATAAAATTAGACGTCACATAAGGGAACTGTTTCCTATGAAAAGGAGTGGAAACTTTGGTGACGTTATTACTGGTGGGAGGGGAAGCTGAATGTCGAAACAAAAGCTTCTTATTCGTTGTTTGGAAGCTCTGTGCTGCTGTTCGTCCGATGTGTATCTAGACTGTAGATGCCTATCAGAGGGACAACAGCAGAACAAAACCTTATGCCAGGCTGCCAAACCACCCTGATGTGCAGATAACCTGTTCCTGGAAGAAGGAAGAAAGGGGCCATCCCTGTTTTAGGCATGTACCTTCCAACTATAGTTAGGGTTGCCATATTTCAAAAAGTAAAAACCAGGACACCCCAATAGAAAGACCCCAAAATGTGATTTTTTTAATTAACTTGCCTGTGATTCAGGACAAAGCGCCGCCTTTCAGAAATTCCCCCTGGACGTCAATTTTGCCTGTGAAGTCCCAGTAATGTCCAGGAAAATCCGGGTGTATGGCAGCCCTAACTATAGTATAAAACAGCCTGTGTGGCTCTTTGTTACTGCCTGTTGCATTGGTAGTCCTTCTTGACGTAGGTTGTGAAGGCAACACGTACCAGAAACTAGGATGCAGATGAAAGGCAAATCCTTTGTCTTTTCCTAGGGTCTATGTGACAATTGCACATACAGAAGCCTCAGTAATATACTGAAAAATGGATTACAAAGAAGATAAAAAGACAATGTAATGTATATCATAACTGGGTAACATTCATTTCCTTGGTAAAAATGGTAAAGTGTTTAAAAATACCAAACTGTCTAAAATTTGCCTTCTCCCTCACCCATTGCTGTTTCCAGCATATTCATTGCTGTTTTCCCTTAAAAATCAATTGAGCTGGCGTTCAATTTTATTAGCCCTGGGGTTGTATTTGACTGTACTTTGTAAATCTATTTTGTAACTTTGCTGTGACCTAGTTGCGTGTGCATGTTTTACTACAAATTACTTGATTTTTAGTATTTATTTGACTTGAATTATCCATATGCTAACTGCTAACAAGCAGTCTTACACAATACCAAGTGAAATTCTTTTCTTAAGTAAAAACAAAACAAAACTACAGATTGCATTTTTTAAGCTGATGGTTAAGGGCTAGTCAGTAGCTCTTTCTATAGATAAATATCTATTGACATTCCACCTACTAATGCGAAAGATGTAATCTTTTCTTTGGCATGTCTTCAATTTTACGTAAGTCCAGGAAAAAAATGGAAGCTGTATACAATTGCCTCCTCTGTTAAAGTTCCTTTCAGTTTGGAGAGTTTGGAGATTTCATGTTTCTTCACTTTAATACACTATTGTTGTACCCCAATTTCCTAGCAGTGTGAGATTTCAGGGTTCCAGGCACTTACCCAGGGTTTGTGCTTCCTTTGTAATGAAGTATAGCATGGTGTCGTTATGATACATGGTTTATTTACACATATATACAACCTGAGCCTACGATGGAGGGTTTCACAGCATTAACACCTCAAGAAGCCTTGCTTCCCCAATAGCCACAGCCTTGAAGTCCAAGAGAAAGCAAACATTTTAGGGAAGGGGACCCACCCACTTGCCATCTTGCACAGATCCACTTTGTTCCTCTTAATAGCCCATCAGCTAGGTGATCGCCTTACAAGGAAGCTAGTATGGCTTCTTTTTTTAACAGTTGCTGAATCCAGGAGTTAGAATGAGTTGGCATACAGCCTGCTCCCCACCCCCAAACTTATAACACTATTTATTTCAGAGTTCCCCACCCCCTGCATAATGTGCAGCAGTACTTGGCAAAGAATGCTAGTTTCACTGGTTATATACAGGTGGTACTTGCAACAAAATATTGCAGTATATCCCCACCTCATTGCAGAAGTTCTCCTGTTCAGGGTTCTTGCCAGCCAGGCATGGTTTCCTCCAGGATACTATAAACTTTAAAGATCTCAAGCATTCCACTCCCTGACTATATGTCATTTTTTATTTTCCAATTGACACTCAATATTTCATAGCTACTGGGCTTGCTATGTAGGCTGTTTGGGGGCTTTGTGTGCCCTCAGGATTTTTCGAAGGGTTTTTTGGTACTTCTGCAAACCTTGGGGTTCCTCTGAGCTTTCTGATACCACCCTCTTGATTCCCAGTGGCCCATTGTGGCCATGGTCCTGTTGGCACTAGCTATGTTCACTCTTAGAGGGGGTGAAAGCAGCAGGTTCCCAGTGAGTGATTTCTTTGTTATACTGTAGTCACCTGTGGAGTGATGGGTGCACAAGGGATTTGGAGAGGTGGGGAGGACAACCCACCTATCAATCATGTGACGTCATAATGATAATAGAATTGTAGAGTTGGAAGGGACCACAAGGGTCATCTAGTCCAACCCCCTGCAATGCAGGAATCTTTTAACCCAACGTGAGTCTTGAACCCACAACCCTGAGATTAAGAATCTCATTCTCTGCTGCCTGAGCTGTCAGCTATCCCAGGAATCAGATGCCATGTCACCACATGGGCAGCCCTCCCCACATGTCAAATTTGCCCTGCAAGGTTGATCTTGATAAGGATCCATGGAGCTGAAAGGGTACCCTACCCTTGTTCCAGCGTTACGTTTCTCACCATGACTGAGACACACATTTTATGCTTTCCTACAGAGGCCAACCTAGCAGTTCAAAAGCCCGTCAAAGTGCAAGTAGATAAATAGGTACCGCTCCAGCTTGAAGATAAATGGTGTTTCCATGCGCTGCTCTGGTTCGCCAGAAGCGGCTTAGTCATGCTGGCCACATGACCCGGAAGCTGTACACTGGCTCCCTCGGCCAGTAAAGCGAGATGAGCGCCGCAAACCCAGAGTCAGCCACAGCTGGACCTAATGGTCAGGGGTCCCTTTACCCTTTACCTTTACAGAGCCAATTCAACACATGAAGGAACTGTGAGTGAATGATGCAATCACAAGTGGAAGGACAGATGTTAATTAGGTGGGAAAGGCCCAAACAATTGGCACCACTTGCAAGATCATTGTCATTTATATGGATCTCCTAGTTTTGGAAGATTACACTATGTGGAAGCATCTCCTTCATATGCAAAGGATGCTTCAGAAGTAGACCTACTTTCATTTCTATAGGGACCAAGGGCTCAAGCTACGCAGCTGTTAACGGCCAGCCAAAAGTCTGTAGCTGGTATTACAGGTCAAGGTTTAGTGTGTTGCATCCTTGAGCAGCTGCTGGGACCCCATTGCCTTGACAGGGCATCCTGCTGCTCTACTCCAGTGTTTCTGAAACTTGGGTCTCCAGCCGTTGTTGGACTACAACCCCCATCATCTCTGACCACTGGTCCTGTTAGCTAGAGATGTAGTCCAAAAACAGATGGAGACCCAAGTTTGAGAAACACTGCCACTGCTATAATAACTACCATAATCTTTCCTGTGTCAGGTGGCTTGGCAGCACCACTTAAATTTCAAAAAATACATTGGTGTATTGAGGGACCGTAGAGGGAAATTGTGGCTCCAAGCCACCCAGTGCTGAATACAGTGTTGCTGCTGCTCTCCACTGTACCACCAGGCAGTCCCCATACAGGTAGGTGTTGGATTGCCTGGTGGCAGTAGCCTTGAAGCTGGGGGACCTAAGGTCAGGCCAGCTAGGTCTGCGGAATCTGCTGCATATCATGAAGGTGGGGATAGAGGAGAGGAGGGGTGCTGAGAAAGTTTCATATAACACTTAAAAACCTGTGAAGAGCCTGCTAGATCAGGCCAATGGCCCATGGAGTCCACGTCCCGTTCTCACAGAGACCAATCAGATGCCAATGGGAAGCTTGAAACCAGAACCTGAGCAGAACGACCACTGGCAGCTTTCTCCTTCAGGAGTTTTAAAGCCATCCAAGCTGTCACTGAGATTGAAAAATGTGGTGGAGCCACGAGATGTAGAAGTCTACAGTTGCTTTAAAAAAAAAAAAGCCTTCTAGGAAACCTCTGTTGTAATCTTGATTGCTTGTGACACCTCTTTAGCTTACTACTGGTACAATGTATTTTAGAGGAAGGAAGGAAATATTGCAAAAGGAGAAACAAAAGTATACTTCATGTGCAGTAACGTGACAGATTTCTGGCACGCAACTATTTTAAAGTTGTTTTCAGATTTACATTTTATGTAGCTTCTTTGCTAAAGTGAAATCAGCTTTATTCTCAGAAGATCATAATGCAAACCAGTGGGTAAAAGTAATAAAGGCTTCAGCTTGTGTTCCAGTTTTTCTTTTTTGCTTGTAAATGGCTGAATACTTATTTGTTGTGCTTATTTGTTACACTTTTAGCCCACCCTCAAGGACCTTTGAGTGGGATTTTATGCTTGCTGTGTTGGTTAGGCGGTGGTGGGGTGGAAAGAGAGAGTATTTGGCCACCCAGTGAGCGTCACATCATATCTGAGTGGGAATGTGAATTTGGCTTTTCCAAATGCAAGCCCCAACAATTTATCCAGTCTACCACCCTGTCTGCTGAGGTTTCCGGTGTGTTTGGGTGTGTATGTGTTGCTGCTTTAGCAGTCCTTTCCCATTTTGGTGTGTGCAGTTGGAATTCCCCTAAGTGAAAATCAACACTACTTCTAGGGCCACATTAGGACAAAGTAGCCTTGACAACTTTTCATGCATCTCCTTCAGCATTCACATTGTCTTCAACACCAGCTGGAAGCAAGCCTGCAACCACAGAGCCTAGGGCTTGCCGATCAGAAGGTTGGCGGTTTGAATCCCTGCGACGGGGTGAGCTCCCGTTGCTCGGTCCTTGTTCCTGCCCACCTAGCAGTTCGAAAACACGTCAAAGTGCAAGTAGATAAATAGGTACCGCTCTGGCGGGAAGGTAAACAGCATTTCCGTGCGCTGCTCTGGTTTCGCCAGAAGCGGCTTAGTCATGCTGGCCACATGACCTGGAAAAACTGTCTGTGGACAAACGTCAGCTCCCTCGGCCAGTAAAGCGAGATAAGCGCCGCAACCCCAGAGTTGTCCGCAACTGGACCTAATGGTCAGAGGTCCCTTTACCTTTACTAGATGTGATGATAAACTTCCCGCTGTGTCTTTATTTGATTTATTTCATTAAGAAAACCCAATGCATTTAATTGCAAATGTGCTGGGACTGCAGTGCACAGGGAGAAGGATATAAGCCTTTGCTTCTTCCAGTACAATTCTGATGAAAATTGCGCCCCCATCCAGCTTCTTTTAGCCCTGGCAGGGAAACTTCCAAGCTTCTTTTCTTGGACTACTAGTACATACCCACCCAGTGTCCCTGTTTCTCCAGGACATCCATGTAATTACAGACGCAATCCCAGCTTCTGATTTCATAGAATCATGGAATCATAAAAGTAAGATTGCCACCACTTCAGAATTTGCCTGCCTCCCCCTGCCCCCAGAATTGCTGAATATCCCCCTCACTTTCAAGAGAGAGGAATGGTCCTACAAAAGTGAAGGGAGAAGCATTTGGCTCAGCTTGAATTCAGTGTACACCATCTGTGAGGTCTTGCACCATCCCTTGGGCCCACCAAGCCCCCTAAGCTACACCTGTAGTCAAAGAGTAATTTGTCCATCACTGCTTTTCCTTCAGCTACCATCACTCCACCATCACTTTTCTACTGCCACATCTCCCCAATTTATAGCCCAAATCTGCAATTACTGCTGGATCCTGAGTTTCTGTTAGCATTGTTCATTACCCTTACTTCATTTTTCCCCATTTCCTCATCCATATGTGATTAATGCCTGTATATAGTGCTTTTTTCTGGGGGGACGCAGGGGGACACATACTCCTAAACATTTTGTGAATCTAACTTTGGCCTCATTGGGGGGCAGCATTTAAATATGAGTAGGGAAATGGGAGTCCCTGTAAATATTTCTTTAGGAAAAAAGCGCTGCCTGTATGAACCTGTTGGTTTCTTCTGCAGAAGGCAAAGGGAAAAGAAATGCCCTTCATGACTACAGGAAGACAGCTGATGCCACGTTAATGAGAATAGACAAGGCGCTGAAAGTGAAGACCAAGCTGCTGAATACTACGGAACAGTGCGCCAAAAGATGCAACAGGAATAAAGGACTTCCGTTCTCTTGCAAGTAAGCAATGTTTTAATTTGCTTTTAGTATTGCCAAAATACTAGTCTAGTCCAGGCATCATGGTATTTAACTGACAAGCTTCCATAGACAAGAGGAAACGTTGCTTTTTAGAAGAGCATTTGAGCAAAACATTTTTGAAGCTGGCTGGCTGATGTTAGGTGATATTAGGTGCGCTGTTTGTATGACTTCAGGCCTGTTCAGATTATTGTTGTTCCCCCTGCGGTTGTGGAAGAATTGCATAAACTCATTTCCTGCTACTGATCTCTTTTGAAGGCAGTCCTGGGATACCAGGCGAAGGATGAGGGGGTGAATAGCCTCCTAATAAATTTGTTGATATTTCTAGCCTTCTTGTTTTGTTGGTTTTATCTGTTTTTTTATGACACTTTGACAACTTTACTGCTTTGAACTTGCTTGGAAACAGGCTATAAAATATTATAAAATGAGATCATGTTTTCAGAAGTTGGAAAATAATGAGGTGTTAAAATTAAGTAAATGTGGAGCATCTTTTTTTGAGATTTGCTGGTGGTCAGCCATTTGGATAAGAACAAACTGAAGGAATTGCCCGGGGCCAAGAGTTTCTAAGAGAGAAGTGCTTTCAGGCAATTGCCCAGATCAGCTTCATGTGCATGTATTTTGCAAACTTAGGACTCAGCTATACAGCTGCAAATAAAATGTTTTACATGTGTTGTAAAGTGCAATATACAAATGCGACACTAGATGGCGAAACTGGGCTATGCAAAATTCAACGTATTTTTCAAAACTTTTTTAAAAAAGCATTTTCACAGCATTTTTTATATGTGTGTAGATTCCACATTAGACAGTTTTGTGATATATGTAATGGTTTGGCTAGTTTAATTTTACTGTTTAGTATTGGATCCTAATGGATTATTGAGTATTGTTTTATTTGATATGTTGTTTATTTTAAAGTTAATGTGACTTTTTATATAGGATCTGATTGTTACTATTAATGCTTGTTTTTTGTTGTTGTTGTTGTGATGATGATGATGATGATGATGTTGGGAGCTGCCCAGAGTGGTTGGGGCAACCCACCAGATGGGCAGATATTATTATTATTATTATTATTAGTTGCTTATTTTCCATTTATCTGGCTGCTGATTGCTTTTCTGCTTATAGCAGCAGATATCCTATATGTCTTTGTGGAACAAAAGATTTTTTTTTTTCATTTTGGAATGTGTCCAAATTTTTCTTCTGGTTTACGTTGCCCAATGGCAGATATGGGGAACCTTTGACCCTGCAGATGTGGCTGAACTATAGCTCCCAACATATCTTGTAGTCTACCAGTTATGAAAGGGAGATTTCTTTCAGGTCATTTAAAATGATAGCATAATCACTGAGCTTTCAGAGCACGTCCTGGGAGATGAGCCGGGTGACTGGGGCAGTGAGGCAGGTGGGCGGATCTGTTTCCTGAAAACTTTGGCTTTTCCACTTTATATTGACGGCACCTCTATGCTAAAACCATGTGAAACTATTTGGCCCAGGATTGGGGGGGGGGGGTTAAATTGCATTTTTTGCAGAATAGAGTGCAAATACCTCCCCTCTCAAGATTGATTTGATTTTGGATTTGTGTGTGTATATGAAATTGTAATACCTTTTTGGGGGGCTTTTTTGAGTTTAGGGTAGTTTCCTTCCTTCCTTCCTTCCTTCCTTCCTTCCTTCCTTCTTGGCTGGGCTCAGGCACATAGAAGAAGAAGAGTTTGGATTTGATATCCCGCTTTATCACTACCCTGAGGAGTCTCAAAGCGGCTAACAATCTCCTTTCCCTTTCTCCCCCACAACAAACACTCTGTGAGGTGAGTGAGGCTGAGAGGCTTCAGAGAAGTGTGACTAGCCCAAGGTCTCCCAGCCATAGCTGTCAACTTACAGATTTGAAAATAAGGGATCAGCAGCCAAAATAAGGGATTTTCCGGGCACAGGTATGTTCAACTTCTGAGCCCCTCCGAGCCAAAGGCAGAAAGCCCAGCCAGCAGCCAAATGAAGCCTCATCAATAAGGGACAGCTGCGGGTCATTGCGCTGGGATAAGGGACTGTCCTGCCAAATAAGGGACACTTGACAGCTATACACCCAGCAGCTGCCTGTGGAGGAGTGGAGACGTGAACCTGGTTCACCAGATTACGAGTCTACCGCTCTTAACCACCACACCACACTGGCTCTGTTACTGGAAACAGAATAGGGAATAATGTTACATAATGACATAGCAAATGTCCATGAGATATTCTTGGGGTGAGAAAAGTGATAGCCATCATGTGATGTCAGTGAGGACAGCCATCACTCCTACCCCCCAAGAGCCACTGGAAGCAAGGTTGGAAGCCGTTGGAGCATCATCATCATCACCAGCAACGTTTGTACTTTTCTAGGCTTCTAACAATGAGTAGCAAATAGTATCTGACTTTCATTATTTGTAGCAATGCAAGATCTCCCTGAACCTGCTAGTGATTCATTCCCATTTTGAAAGAGGGGAATGGGGAGTGGATTCATGGAAGTTCAGAGGAAAAACCTCAGCATTTGTTAGGGCCAGACATTGCATTCTATCTGTCAAGGGCCTGAGAGTCTCCTCAGTCAGGCTGAGACATCTTCCTTCCCATACAGAGTTGGACATCTTACTAGAGTTTTACCATTTATTCATCCCATTTTCTGCACAGGGCTTTTGCATTTGATAAAGCTTCCAAACGCTGCCATTGGTTTTCCTTTACTGCCCTAGAAAATGGAGTGAGGAGCAGGGAAGACAACACATTTGACCTGTATGAAAAGAAAGGTAAGTTGCTTATTCATTAGCCATGACCTTATAGACAAGAAAGCCTGCCTGAGTGAGCGAGTTAGTATAATGTCTCATTGGCTATTGTGAGCCCCCCTCCCTTTATAGAAGTTCTAATAGAGGGATGGGGAACCATTTTCATTCCAAGGGTCAGATGGGGAACTAAAAGGAACAATTCCAGGAAAAAAGTCAAGTAAAACTCCTTGTTTAGTTGCAGGATTAAATTAATGAAACTAAACAGAACATTTTCTTATGTCCCAACAAAGGTTTTAAAGAGTGAATAAATATAGATAAGGCCAAGGACTTGTAAGTGGCCAATGATTTGATGTTGTTTACTTTGAACAGCAGGCTCATTCTCTGAACTATTTTGACTCTCATCTCTTTGCCATTTGGCACTGGGGAGGTACTGTTTGAGAAACAGGAGCTCAGAGCCCCCCTTGGTGCGCAGAATTAGTTGCACAGTTCTTTGGATACTGGCCAAAACATTTAACAAATTATTGTATGAAATTTTAGATGTTTAAAAATTGCACTAGTCATGAACAATTGGCACAAAGCAAGATGAGTTGACCCTTATTATGTGTGAGTATAAAAGTACACTTGCTAAATTTCTATGCATTTTTATTCACTAATAAAATGTGATGTCTTCCATTTATCTGTTTTGTTTTATGATTCATCTCCCACAGACTATGTTAGAAATTGTATCATTGGTAAAGGAGCAAATTATAAGGGAACCATATCAGTCACAAAAAGTGGCATTCGGTGTCAGGCATGGAATTCCACAATACCTCATGAACACAGGTAAGATTGATGATATCACAAGAGCCCAGTTCTACATAACTTTCTCCTGCCAATTTCCTTTCCTTTCATTGATAATAGAATCATAAAATTGTGGAATTGGAAGGGACCCCAAGGGTTATCTAGTCCAACCCCCTGCAATGCAGGAATCCCAAGGAAGAAGAGTCCATCAAATTCCAAAGGAGACTATTTCACTGTCAAACAGCTCTTCCCATCAGAAAGTTTTTTCTGATGTTTAGTCGGAATCTCCTTTCTTATAACTTGAATCCATTGGTTTGAGTCCTCCCCTCCGGAGAAGGAGAAAACAAGCTTGCTCCATCTTCCACGTTACAGCCCTTGAGACATTGAAAAATGACTGTCATATGAACAACTGGGCAGTTGACAGCAAATGCACCTGCAGAGCTAAGACTGCTGATGATCTCTGTAGGGCATACATATTGGGAAACACAAGTTTGTTGCATTATCATTTTAGTTTTAAGGTGTACACTAGAATTATTTCCATATATACATCAGAAAAGCTGAAGTGGTTCTTGAAAAGTGCTGTACGTTGAGACAGCCGTGCTGGATGGAGGACAGGGCAGGATGGGGGCCCTCAAAGCAGAGGAAGTGCTTAATCTTCATTAATGATAAATGAAAACTGTGAGAATCTTGAATTTTCTCTCCAACATATTGTAAGGAGAGAAAATGGAAGTTAAATTGTACTAAATCTGGAATCATTGTATTTGGAGACCATTCACTGAAATATAAACAGATAATATAAAATAGATCAGGATCATAGATTAATGTTCTTGGGCATTTTCCGTGAAGAATACATATCCTGGGAAATGCATAAAAAATCAAGTATTGCAAAAGCCAGATAAGAGAACTCTTTTGAAATACTGTCACATAATGAGTGGTTTTATGATCATTCCAGCTTTAAAAATATTCATGGCTAAAGTTGGGAGCCCAGTTTGCACGTAACACTAAGTCAAATGATGCCTTAGTGTGAATGAGCTCAGAAAAGCGATTGTGGCTGCTTTGAGGATGAGGAAGGAGTGGAGTGGCCTTATTAGCCCCAGTTTGCTTCCCCATGAGTGGTTACCTCTCCTTGACTGCCACCCCCTTTCCCTTGGAAAAGTCTCTTCATGTGTCTCTTCTAGGTAGTGGTGGTGAAATCCACGCCCACTCATGGCAGGAACACGAGCCACTGCTTGGCTGAGTGTGTTGTCTGAACCTGGGCTCATGGTTTAGCAGATGTTTCCCTATTTTGGATTTCATTATATGGGCAAAATATTTTTTTATATAGGATTCTTAAGGCAGAAAAATTCTGTCCAGTAGATTTTGTTATAAATTCCTGTAATAAAAAGGTTCTGTGGAGTAGATTTCATTGCCATTTTCTGCAAAAAATAATATGGGAATTGTCTAGTTAGAGTTGATGAGTATCACGGTGATTAACTCCAAGCTACTTTTTAGAAGTGTTCCTCCCCTAGAATTGCTCTTTTTGCTTATTTGTGGTGTTTAGATAAAGGTGGGACCCAATGCACACTTACCTGTAACCTCTACATGATTGCCTTTGGTATGTACACAAGTGCAGGCAAACAACGCTCAATATGTAGACATTGTCAGCACATTTAAGTTTGGGAGCACATTTTCCAGGCAGCACTGAGGCTCCTTTAGTTGCCTGCCAAAGTGATGCTTCATGGTGAGCACTGCCTGCTTGTGACATTCTTTTATGCTTCCAAGTCCTGTGCCCATGTAGCACTGGCAAGCAAGAATTGACCCTTGTGTCCCAACAGAACTTTGGAAAGCTAGTAGACAGGATTGGATCTCATCCTCCAAAACTGTAACAAGAATTTTTTTTTGTTCCATATGAAAGGCTGTATGATAACATATTTAGGGCAATCTGGATTGAATGTTGCTGGCTTGCATTTAATGCTTATCTTTCCCAAGCTTAGGACTTTCTGATGAAAGAGGTGGGGGAGGAAATTTCCATAATACTGCAATACACAAGCACATACCATTGTTAAACAAACACATGGAATGTAATTCTCGATCAGAAAAGCTTCCCTGAAGCTGTCCTTAGCAAAGAGGTTATGAAAGATTGATAGCATGGAAGAGGAAATAAGGAAAAATAGGGACTACATGAGAAAGGCACTTCTTATGTTTACTCCAGAAAAAAGAGATGTTTCTAGCATATGAGCTGCATATGATAGGTCAAAAGCCGGTCTTTGAAGTGAGCCTAGAAATGAATTGGTAACCTGTTCAGCCAAGCCAGAACTGGTGTTCTATGTTCATACTGTCCTATTCTAGCCAACAATTGCCGTTAAATGTCCTCAGGTGTATAATACGAAATAATACCATACCTGACCTGGATGATAAGCAGGGGTAAAATTCGGAAGTCTAATTAATAATTGCAGAGGAATATATTATTTGGCACTGGCAAAACCAGCTGGTGCAGTTCTAGGTCACAGATGCTCTTTGCTGCTCTTTGCCTGACCACATTTTTGTTCTCTACTGCTTTACTGTATAGTTTTCAAGTATTATTTTTAACTTGTGCAGGAAAGTCAGCAGGCAGTTAACATTTATTAAATAAATAAATAAATAGGAGTCAGATAAACTATTTATTAAGGTTCGCGACAAAGCTTGCATGCTCTTATACTGTAATGATTGTCATTTTAAAACTAGCTTTTTGCCTTCGAGCTATCGAGGTAAAGATCTACGTGAAAACTACTGCCGCAATCCCAGAGGAGAGGAAGGCGGGCCCTGGTGCTTTACAAGCAGCCCAACGAAGCGTCATGAACCCTGTGACATTCCTCTCTGTTCGGAAGGTAACACTCAGAAGGTCAACCATTAGTTGATTTCAGTTTTGTGCAGAAGCAGAATTAACTTTACAAATATGACACATCACAGATTTCTGTCTTTTGAGTGCAACTCAGATTCTGATAATTATTAGAGAACATTTTCTTGACGCTTGAGATTCAAACTTTGTGACAATCTAGGCTGCCTTTTGGAAACTCTTGAAAGTCCTTGGATGTTTTGGCAACAGAGAAACCTCCATTCTTACTTCACATTTCACATTAGGCAAAAATTGATGAAAAGCATAATTAATTTGATAGAAGACCATGTGAATCTAACAGGAGGTTGCTATTTGTTGACATATGCTTTTATCTGCAGTATTGGAATGAGGTGTTGAGCTCAAGTCACTATCCTAGAAAAGAGTCACTTTTCTGTACTTTCAGCTGAATGCATGACGTGCCATGGCGAAAGCTATAGAGGCCCCATGGACCACACGGACACTGGCAAGGAATGTCAACGCTGGGACCTTCAGAGACCACACAGGCACCCATTTCGTCCAGAGAAGTAAAAATGCTCTTCATTTATTTTAAGGAAGTACAGATTGTGAATGGAACCTGTCTGTCTTTTTGAGACAGGACTGCTGCCGGTGGGCTATTGGAATCATTGCCATGCACACCTTTTTCCGTCATGAATTGGATTTCAACCCTTCATTCATGCATTTAATTAGTAACTATAATGATGTTTGTCTTGTCCTTCCAATGAGTTGCCAGGGTAGCTTAAAAATAAGGAAACAAAAAATGCAGAGCACAGAGAAAGGAGGAATAGCAGAATCTAAAGATGGCATGAAAACCTTCAGCAGAGAAGAAACTAACTGAAATGAAAGGGCGTGAGAAAATAAGAATGCCTCAGAATGGCATCAGCATGATAACAATGTATGCATAAAGTGAGTCTCTCTGGGGATAGCATTCCATAACTGGAGCACCACCACTAAAAAGGCCCAGATGATGGGGACACCTAAGAAGGGTTGTTGTGAAAGATCTTATAGGATGTGAATCTAGGCAATCCTATAGGTCTGCTGCCCCCAAGCTATGAAGTCTTTAAAGGGTATGTGAATCCTCTATAGCAGACATAGTTTTTCATTGCTTACTTTTGAAAAGTAGACTGTCTGTAGGAATATTGCTACCTGCAACTTGAGTAGATGTTGGAGCTATCATCCAATCCATGAGCGTTCATGTGTCAAGCCCAAACCAATGTCAGTGGTGTTCCATTCATTTGAATGTTAATTGTTTAACCTAAACCCTATACAATCTATGATGTATTGAATCATGTACAATCCTCATTAATTTTAATGAACTTTGGACTACAACCATACATAGCATTGGAAATTGTTAAACTTCATATTGATTGAGTACTAGCAGTAACTCACTTTTATGTTTGCTCATAAAAGCTTCTAATTAAAAGCATGAGGTAATCTTAATAGCATAACTAGGTTTTAATGAACAAGAGAGTGAAAGAAGAGAGACCATGCACACACAGGTACAGATATCTCTAAAAAACCCCAACCAACTTTACATAGCTTGTTATCAAAGTGACTTAAATAATTGAAAATATTTATGAGCTTAATCTTTACTGTCCTCCATAAATCTCTACCGGAATACTTAACCTTTAAGCTTCTCAGATTTTTGATCCTTTGCCTATTAAAGCTATAAATGTTTTGTTTTTGTTTTGCTAATATTTGATAGTGATTTAATATTTATCTTCCATCCCCCCACCCTACAGACAAAAAAACATTGGCTGAAGGCAATATTCATTGCTGTGAGTTTGGGTTTTGGACAGTTACTTAAGTTGTTGCAGTATTCACTTAATGCCAAAAAAGTGAATCTGAGCCAATGCTAGGACACTGCAGACTAAAAAGGTTTTGTTCTTATAGGCTGTTATCCAAGCATACAGTGTGATCTGTACTTTAGAGTCCTTCAAAAGGAGCTGATATAGTAATTTAGGCCATGCAGAATGGTCTGGGGGGGGGGGGGTAGAATCATAGAATAGAATCATAGAATCATAGAGTTGGAAGAGACCACAAGGGCCATCAAGTCCAACCCCCTGCCAAGCAGGAAACACCATCAGAGCACTCCTGACATATGGTTGTCAAGCTTCTGCTTAAAGACCTCCAAAGAAGGAGACTCCACCACACTCCTAGGCAGCAAAGGTATCTCCAGGGTATCTACACTGTAGATGTAAACTAGTTTAATAGTTATTCTTTCTCTTCAGTAAACACTTGGAACAGTAGATCTGTGAGGGGGACTTAGAATCCTTAATGGAAAAAATACTACTACTACTACTACTAATAGGTGAATAATATTCTGTTAAAGCCATGGCAGTTAAATCGGTATACATCAAACTTTAATTTGCAGTGTAGATATGTCCTATGGTGTAGGATATATATTTGCATTGATATGAATTGCATAAGTTAACTTAATTCTTTGCCTTTGAACGTTGAGGTCACACCCACACCATACATTTGAAGCGCTATTATTCCACTTTCACAGACATGGAGAATCCTGGGAGTTGTAGCTCTGTGAAGTCAGCATCCTTAGCAAAGTATAGTTGCCAGGATCTTCTATGGCTGTTAAAGTGGTAAAGTAGTGCTTAAATACAGTATATGGAGAGGAGTTGACTTATCTGCAGGCTACTTAATTCTGCTGTCTTTTAACTGGAGTCCAGTAGATAGGATTTCATAAACCGTAGCTCATGTTGGAATTGACTTTTAATCATAACAATTACTTTTAACCAGCTTGCATATATGAACATTGTTCTTGCTTCCATTGCAATGAGCTGGAAATAAGGGAATTGGTATTCGGTTCCATGTCCTCCTTCCATAGACATTCTTTGTGACCTTGGAATGATCATTAACTCAATTTGCGCTCCACTTGCATAACAAGTGATATTTTTTCCCCTGTAATCTACTTGGAAACCGGTTGCTAACAGTATTGGAACACTTGTTCATTAACTACAGGAACGGTGGCCTGCAACTGGCTCCACATTTTATCTGATGTCTGATTCCTGAATCAGGCAGAAATTGTTTGCTAGGTGTAGGTGATGGTGTAAATAACATGTCTTAATGGAAATGCATGATGTGATGTATTTACATGGCGGGCTTTCGATACTGCTGCTGTGCGTCACTGTGAAAAGCCCTACTTCTTTACCACTGTCATTAGCAGCTACCGTAGATTCCGGCGTATTAGGCAACTGGGCATATTAGACGACTCCCCAAATTAGCAGCTGCAATTTGGGGATTTGTTTTATAAGCCAGTTGCCTAATACGCTGGGCAGCTCCGCGCCGGGAGAAAGCCGCCTGGCGCGGAGCTGAGCCCATCGCCCGCTGCTTCAGAGCCGCCACAACAGCAGCGGGGGCGGGCTCCGCTCCGCGCCACCCATACCCGGCGTGTAAGGTGACCCCCGATTTTTTAACCTCTTTTCTGGGGTTAAAAAGTCGCCTTATATGCCGGAATCTATGGTAACTTGATCTGAATTGCAGAGGTCCCCCATTTTTAGCTGATTATGAAAATTTGTATATCACATTGGATCACAGCAGTTCTCAACCTGTGGGTCCCCAGATGTTGTTGGACTACAACTCCCATCATCCCTGAGCTCTGGCCTTGCTAGCTAGGGGTGGTGGGAGTTGTAGTTCAATAACATCTGGGGACCTACAGGTTGAGAAAGGCTGGATTAGGCTCAGTTCTCTTGATTTTTGTAAGATTTTGAAATGTTATGCTGTTTTTGTGATGTTTGAATTTTATTTTATATGTGGCTTGTAAACCACTTTGGGACAGATTTTTCTTGAAAAGCAGCATATATATTTATTAAATTAATAAACAGGTGGCCACAAGGAAGTGTGCAACATGATAATATCACATAACACATTTCCCTTGTGACAGGAGAGAGGAAGGACACTTGGCCTGGGCCAGCCTTGTGTGTTTGTTCTTTGTGATAGTCCTAAATTCGGGGTCCTGTCCATGATGTCTTTTATCAGGTGATAACCTAGCAGTTCAGAAGCACATCAAAGTGCAAGTAGATAAATAGGTACTGCTCTGGCGGGAAGGCCAACGGCATCTCCATGCACTGCTTTGGTTTTGCCAGAAGTGGCTTAGTCATGCTGGCCACATGACCCGGAAAAACTGTCTGTGGACAAATGTCGGCTCCCTCGGACAGTAAAGCGAGATGAGCACTGCAACCCTAGAGTTATTCGTGACTGGACTTAACTGTCAGGGGTCCTTTACCTTTAGGTGATGGGGATCTAAGCTTCTCATTCCTTCAGGTATACAGGGTTGAGGTTGTTTAGGGTTTTAAAGGTCAGCACCAATATTTGAATTGTGCTTGAAATGTGCTGGGAGCCAATGTAAGTCTTGCAGGACCAGTACGATGTGGTCCCAGTGGCTGCTCCCAGGCACCAGTCTAGCTTCCACATTCTGGATTAGTTGGATATTGGTTACCCAAACCCACTGATGGTCTCTCCCAGCAGCTTCATATAGATGTTGAAAAACATGGGGGAGAGGACAGAGCCCTGAGGTACCCCACAAGTGAGTGCACAGGGGTCTGAACACTCATCCCCCCCCCACTTTCTGGAGACGGACCAGGAGGAAGGAGCCAAACCACTGCATAACAGTGCCCCCAGCTCCCAACCCACCTAGACAGTCCAGAAGGATGCCATGGTCAAGTGATGAGACGACTAATAGGGGAGTTTCATTGCTATACTACACACCCAAAAGATTGGATATTATGTTGGCGTATTGATTTTATCAGACTAAGAGCAAAATTCACAGGGAAAGGTTTGGCAAGCAGGCATTTGAGAGCATTGCAGCCCTTGGGAAATGTCTCTGTCAGCCCACCTGGCTTGCGCATTGCAGGTGGGAACTCCAAGTGCATTGATGGAGTCACCAGGACTGAAGACCTACATGAGTGTATGTAACACCCAGTCAGACCTGAGGACTCTCATTCAGACAGCACACTGCTGCTTGTATTGATACAAATTTCTGTACAGTACCAGCAAAACGAAGCTGAAACTGGGAGGTGAATAAACAGCAGAGGAGCAGAAAAGAAGCCAGTTACTGCACATTGGGTCTTGATAGTGGTGATGGGAGTTCAAGAGTTTTCTAAAGCAATAAACCACAGGCTTCCTACATTTCTCTACCTTCATTCTGCAACTGATAAATTTAAAGAGTAGAATTTAGCATAGTTCTGCCTGCTCCCTGCTGACTAGAAAGGCTGTGCTAACAGCCAGCGGGTCTGGAGAAATCAGGCTTAGAAGTAATTGTGCCATTGCTTTTTAACAGTATTGGGGAACCCCAAACCATCCCCTTGAGTGAGTGTTGTGGGAAGACACAGTATAGCAGCAGATCAACCACATGTCATTGTTTTGTAGCTCTAGGCCACTACAACTTAATTGTAAACAATTGGCATACAGCACAGGATCCTATAGAGTTGCTATAAATAGCAAAATGCCAATATGATGAAATTAGGGACCCCCGTTTTTTTAAAAAAACAAAACTCTGCAAAGTATTGAGTTGCATAAGATTCTGTTGTCCTTCTGGAATATCTTTTGCATAAGCTCTTATTAAAACAACAAAAACAAAAGCCAACAGGAACTTGAGTATGTGAAACTGGGAGACTGCAACTACCTATTTAAAATCTCAGGGTTTCATCTGACTTTTGGCCCCCAGCCCACCAAAAACATGCCCAGTCTTTACTCTTGCTATGGCACTGTCAGTACTTCGAATATAACTTCCTTATTTCAGTTCTGGGTATGTCTTAGTTGGATGCAACCTAGATTCATTTCTGCAGATATTTGGTGTCATGGTGGTAGAGGTTTCATCAGTACATGGTGTTCTTTGATTGACCAAGACCAATGTTTTTAGTTCTGTCTGCAATTCTTCTGTGAAATGGCAACTCCAGGGAATGTAAACAAAAGCACATGCTGTGTAGTCTAATAAAATAATTCACGTAGATGATAAAGCAATTGCCTTTAAATGTTTCCCCTGGAGGTCCAGAGCTTGGGATATGCACCTTGGCCTTGATTAACAGCATACGTTTTAAATTTCAGTCACTAAATGGAAGTGTCAGTTATACTTGCATTACTAACTTAGTACAGTGGCCACCTAAATAGCAGGTTAAGTTGTAAAGTAAGGGGGAAGCACGAAATTAATGACCCATTAAAGCTGAGAAATGCCTGGGAAGAGCATTTTTATCTATTGTTAATCACAATTGCCTGGAATCCAGAAATAACAAGCACTGATGGAGAGCGTTAAATGTAATTGGAGAGAGAGAGAGAGAGAGAAGAGAAGAAATTTTACTACCTTTTAGAAAGCTGCTACTCTGTTACAGCTAGACCTTGTCTAGATTTACTCAGAGGCTGAGTCCAAGTATCAAGTAAGTATCAAAATAAATTTTGATGATATGCAAAGTAGCAGAGTAGCTTACAGCTAGGAAGTTAATAACTCTTCCAGGTGATTGATAGCTTCTTTGTAAAGACTATACAATATCCAGACTTTTAATATTCAAAAGAACTTTACTTTCATAAACATAAACATAAAGGTTTTTACGTTATTATACATACCATGTATAATAAATGTAATATAAACAATTATTTCTAAAAGAATAAGCAAATGCTATTCATTCAAGAAACTGACAGTTGTCTCAATTCCCCCCTTCACTTCTTTCAGTAATTCCAGGACAAAGGGTATGGAAATAATTAAAAAGAGAAAAAAATATTGACAAGATAAAGGAGGGCAGAGGGAAACTACATTTTTCCTCCTTGCAGTGCTGGAAATGAGGGCATGGCCTCAGAATAAGCATACTTCTAAAAATAGAGCTATCATTAGCAGAAAGTTTATTGAAAATAGCTTCCAGTTTGAACCCAGGACTGTTGAACCCATTTCCTTAATGAGTCTGGCATGCCAGGAAGTGTTTATATTGTCCACATTTAATTGGGCCATTTGAAGATAGGGAGTAAAGGTATTGTGTCAAGCCAGACACTAATGGGAGGTTGCCCAATTAGCAGAGTGACCCTGTTGGATGCCCTGAAGCATATCAAAACTGTTCTCCTCCAGATATTACAGCTGCTGACTGCTTTTTGATGGCAACTCCTCCTCCCACATCTGTAGGTATTTGGCACCCCACATGTTAGGATTCCTGTTTGCCCTCACTGCCTCAGAACCCTATCAGGCTGGAGGTCATTTGGGCTGCATCTTGTGTGCCTGTGTAGCGTTGCCAGGCTGACTTGGTTGACGTGCTTGTCGGTGTGCTTTGCAGATATCCTGACAAAGGCCTTGATGATAATTACTGCCGCAATCCAGATAATAAGCCGAGGCCGTGGTGCTACACTCTTGACCCAAACACCCCCTGGGAGTTTTGCACAATTAAAACGTGTGGTGAGTTTAATGCAAATGTTTATTGTGACTTTCCCCGTTCCTTAATCTAGGCTATCTGAGATTGTCTCTTCACTGCGTGGCAACCCTGTTATATTTTCTGTAGGCTTCAGTCCTGTCGCTTATAACAAGTTCTCTTACCTAATATGCTCTCCTCTTTGTGCATTTTTTGTGTAAAAGACTCCTCATGCAATTTCTGGGGCGTGGGTGCTACATTTCTGGCCTTGCCCTCAGATCACACAGGCTCCATCAATCCCTCTCCACATGCATAAATTTCCCTGGAAGCTGCAGACCTAATAATACAGTTAGTCTTGAAAGCAGATTTTAAGGGTAACAGCTCAGAATTTATGAGACAGGGTTTGCCTGGGCACAAGCAAAGGTGCATGTACAGATGGGACCTAGAAAATGCGCAAGCATCCTCTGAAGCATTGTAGTGAAGGCTGTAGTGGTAGACAATATCTATCTTCCCTCTAAGCACACTCCGAAGCTCCTGTGTTGCCCCAGAGTTCTTGAAAACCCAGTTTAAAAACAACTATATTAGATCAATGCTGCTGCAGGTCTCCTGAGGTCAGAGTTCTTATTGGTGTGGGGAAAGATAAGAGATCCGCTTCAGCATACATCTAGCAAATCCTTTATCTTTCCCTGCAATCCACTTAAGCAATGCAATATGTATGAGACCTTGCTATTTAAGGTAACAAATAATATCTCAGAAGCGACTGTCTAGCAGTTTTTACTTTTATGTTAGCAATTAGCATACTAAACAGTGCTGAAAAATCTCTCCTGAGAATACAAACATCTGGTGCATTTATTGCCATCTGGACTTCATGCTACCTGAATGTTTGACGTCCAAACTAAACTGATCAAAGACCCGATCTTGCTTAGACTTGGCATGTTCCAAACATTTTGAGGCTGCTTCTCTCTTCTGTGAGCCTGAAAATGCTAAAGAGCATTTTACCTTTTCTTGGAGTGGTAATCTATTTGCTCATGAATCTCATATAGGAAAACCAGTTTTCTAGTATTATAAATAAATAGCTTGAACGACAGGTTTAGGTTTATTAAATTTATGTATTGCTGCCCACAACAAAAAGTTCCAAAGTGATTTAAAATGAGAGTAAAAATACAATAATAAAAACAGATAAACACAGTGAGGATCAAAACATCCAATCACTGGTGCTGCCTGAATGCCTGGGGAAACAAAAATGTCTTCTTGGTGCTGGAACATTAACAAAGTTGACACCAGGTGGGCTTCCCCGAGGAGATGACCTGCATGCTTGGGGCTTCTCAGACTTCCTTTGTCCTGTTTTACCTTGGGTGCATGTATGCACTCGTTCGCCAGAGTGCAGAAATAGTGCAGAGAGATATGCACAGTGCTTTTCCCCCCTTAAAAAAACGTTCAGGGGTCCTCTCATTTTCTTACTCATATTGAAATACTGTACTGTCCCTCAAGGAGGCCAAACTTAGATTCACAAAATGTTTAGGGGTATGCATACACCTGCGAACCCACAGAAAAAAGCACTGGAAATGTAAGATAGGAATCATGTACAACCAGTAGAAGATCTTTGCCATTTTAAAATATACTGATTTACTTGAGGAATCCTAAGAATCTTAAGGGGAATTATTCTGTCTTTTCTGTTCCTACATGAATTTGCAATTCACAAGCTGTAGGTAACAGGGCATTTTTTTACAAGTGGCTCACGTCAGGAAATGACTCTGAACCACTTTGTCAGGAAATGACTCTGAACCAATGTGATCATAAAAAAAGAATGCAATGGAAATGTACAACTGCTGCACAAGAAAATATTGATGCCCCAGTAGGAGTTTGAATGTCCTTGAATTGCATTATTGCAGTTTCCTTAAGGAGTAGTTTGACATTTTTCTCTGCAGTAACGTTTGGTTTTTCTGATGTATTCATTCTATGTTACAGCTCCTTCCTAACATTCCTACAAAAGTACACAATATGTGATGTAACTAATCACTTTGCTGCAAAAACATCACAGATTGTCATACACTTCTGTTAAAGGAAAATTTGCTTTTGCAAATGGTATACTCTCAGTGATGACCATTAGTATTCTAGAGGAGTCAGGAATAAATAATGTTAGAGAATCCATTAGCTTAGTGGTACAGCACATGCTTTGCACTCACTTCCCATGTTTTACTTTGCATGAATAAGGTCGCAAATTCAATCCCTTATATCTCTAATTATGTTCCTGATGCGGCCTCAGTTCCATAAACATTTCCAATTATCACAAATTTGTAAGTAGTAAAAATAAGCCTTGTGCCTGCCTGCCTGAGTGACTCATTTGAGGAGCTACCATTTTCCAAAATTCTGTTCAAAACAGTCCACGCCAGACTGAGTGCAGCTTGCAGAGACATCTGCAAAAGGTCTTGAGACAGAGAAACTTGTTGGCTTTCCAAACATATTACTCTAGGGAGAATTTGATATCAGATTTACAGAAGCACAGCCACTCTTTAAAGTGCACAAATATTAGCTTAATAAAGCCATTAGAATATTAAATGTAGGAATGTATTCATTTTAAAAATCAGATACTTTTGCATTAATCCATGATTGTGCGTGATCTACATAGAACAAATCTAGGATGCCAAAACACTGATTTGTGTGTTTAATTTTCCATGCGCAAATACTCTTTTGACTGAAGTGGAACCAGGGATTTAAGTAGTTAGATGGGTTTATAATAGATTTCGTCTTGTACATGTTTATATGACTGGGGTTACAACAACAAAAGATGCCTCTTGAAGAATTACCTTTGTATTTACCAGCAGACTTTACATTTAAAAACTAATCTATATTCCAGGTTAGACAGTAGAACCTAATTGTGCAACCAGATGTGAACCCACAAAATCTTACTGACTTTATAAAGTTTGAGCTATGAGTAATTCAGGCCAGGGTGCATAAACACAGGCCCTTTACAAGGATTCCTAGTTTTCTGTTCTTCGGGAAGCATGCTGTTGCACAGGCACAGGGAGAGAAAGGCACTGTGAATTGCATTCTGGGAAACTGCAATCTAGCAGGCAGAAACCTGGTGTTTAGTGGTGTTCCTGCTTATGTCCAAATAGAAGTACAGTGGTACCTTGGTTTAAGAACATCTTCGTTTATGAACCACTTGGATTAAGAACGCTGCAAACACGGAAGTAGGTGTTTTGGTTTGTGAACTTTGCCTTGGAATAAGAACATGTTTCGCTTCCTGTTGAGTGTGTTCCATTTGTAAATTGAGTCCCCACTGCTGTGGGAAAGCATGCCTTGGTTTAAGAACGTTTTGGTTTAAGAACAGACTTCTGGAACGGATTAAGTTCGTAAACCAAGGTACCACTGTATTAATAGGAAAAACCTTGGAAATGAAATCCATTACTGCGTTGCAGAACAAAATCTTAAAACAGTCACAGAATCACAGCAGATAAAAGTCTTTCTCATGCAAAGCAATTCGACATTTGAAGTGATGGCATTCAGTTCTTTGGAATTCAGTGCTAGCCTAATGTGGAAGTAGCTATTCATAATGCTTGAGGAATTTAATTTCTGTGAAGTCCTGTGTGGACTAACCTCCTTCTAAATTCACACTTCTCCAAGTTGTAGTTATCCAGCCAAGTAATGTATACAAAAATGGTTGTGCATATAGTGAAAATAGCTTACACAGGTGCGTTATATTGGGGGAGATTGCCTTGCTGATTTTTCATATTGGAAGAAAATTGTACTAAAATGTTACTGAATTTTCATGGAGACTTTCTTTTTAAAAAATCACAAATTGATGAGGAAAGGTGGAGAACTGAACTTAAGATCTGAAAAATGAGAAATGTGCAATATTTTCCCATCCCTATTCAGAGTAAGTCTCACAATGTTCAGTTTGGCTTGTTGTTTAGTTGTTTAGTCGTGTATGACTCATCGTGACCCATGGACCAGAGCACGCCAGGCACTCCCGTCTTCCACTGCCTCCCGCAGTTTGATCAAACTCATGTTGGTAGCTTCGAGAACACTGTCCAACCATCTCGTCCTCTGTCTCCCCCTTCTCCTTGTGCCCTCAATCTTTCCCAACATCAGGGTCTTTTCCAGGGAGTCTTCTCTTCTCACGAGGTGGCTAAAGCATTGGAGCCTCAGCTTCAGGATCTGTCCTTCCAGTGAGCACTCAGGGCTGATTTCCTTCAGAATGGATAGGTTTGATCTTCTTGCAGTCCATGGGACTCTTAAGAGTCTCCTCCAGGTCCATAATTCAAAAGCATCAATTCTTTGGTGATCAGCCTTCTTTATGGTCCAGCTCTCCCACATAAATATGCATAAGATTGCAGCCTAAAGGGTTGCCTTGTTTCCTAGGACCCAATGTATCTTTTAAGTGGTCTGCAGGAATCAAAGGGTGAACTGTAGAACATTCCCCTTACATCAGGTTGACTTGCAGGAAGGAAAGCAACAGCCATGTCTATCTTTCTAGCTCAGAATGTTGTGGACAGCTCTTCAGCAGCAGCTGAGACGAGAGAATGCATCAGAGGTCAAGGAGACGGGTACCGTGGAACTATAAGCACCATATGGAGTGGCATTGAATGTCAGCCTTGGGACTCTCAGACTCCTCATCAACACAACTTCACATCGCAGAACTATAAATGCAAGTGAGTAGGGCCTCATGGGTGTCACCATTTTAATGGCAGTGATTATGACTTGCAGAATCATTATTAATCTTCAACCCAATAAATACTCATGTGACTTGTAGAGTGTGATATAAAACATACTTTACTGTCATGTCAAACACTATCTAGGAATCATAGCTATGTTTCTGAAGTGTTGCTTTTGGGAAAACTCACCTGAATCTGATTTATATAACTGCTCCATGTTTGGTGGACTCATTTCATGGATCCATGAACAATCCAATATGGGAATCTTCAGAGCCTTTTTTCTGGCCTGGCGCATAAGTTGTGGTGTATTCATAGTGCCTGATGGTGTCTAGTACCAGCTTCTCACTGTGTACCTGGCAAACTGTAGTGTGGTGGTTTTATGTGTGTGCACATGGACTATGTATACCGGTGTGATGGAGGCACACCAACATTTCCAGTAAGAAAGATGGTAAAAAAGTGAATTGGTCACAGGTTTTGGGACTAGTTGGGAGAGGTGTTAAACTGTCACTCAGGGATTTTTCTGCAACATGGCTTTATCTTACCTTGAACACTAAAACTTCCTACCTTCTCAACTCTCTGATATTTTTAAGAAGCCACTGCTCCCCCCACAACACCCCCCCCCCCATTTCCTAGTTGTCTGAAAGTTCCCTTCTCCCTTCTAGGGAATCTAATACATCTACAGGTGAACTAGTTGAAATGATGCAAGCCCCAGCATCAATTCTTCCCCTCCTAATTAGGATTCCTGCTGCTTATAGAAGCTCTGGTTGTGTGGAACCATGATCCCTTGTAGCTGCTCATTCTTCAGCTCTTAAATTGGCTGGCTGTGTCCTATGAAAGGCTTCAGTCACCTGTCCATGTCAGAAACCTTCGCCACAGTAGCAGCTTGAGAACAAGAATCTTGTCTGGGGGTAAGTTATCCTGACTTGATAATATGCTACGGTTTTGTGAGAGTGTGCTTGTTTTTCAGTGCAGGGTGAATGGGTGTCCAGTATGTTTGTTGTTACCAGTGCTTTACTTTTACTAAAAATTCAGATTTGTCCATCTGGAAATTCTCTATTTTATATTCATGCTAGTGTAGACTTTAATGTCTGAAAATATGCAGGATAACATATAGTTTCTTCCCCCTTAGCCCCCTTCTTGAAGGACCAGATTTTGCATCGACAATAAAAGGACTGGGTAATGAATGCACACAAGTGCTGACAGAGGTGCACAGTGCTTGGTTTTGCTCCCAAGAGAGCCTTTCTGCTAGAATTGGAAGGCTGACTCAGTGGTGGTTCCAGACTGTGAGGGAATCTGAGGAAAAGGGTTCAGGAGGCCTTTCTCGGATGGAAAGATGATGGCCCACAAATGAGGCCAGGTGAGGCAACCACCTCAGATGGCAGGATCCAGTGGGGCAGCAGATCTTGATGCCAATCTTTCTCCACCCACTGTTTGTTTCTGATGGAGCTATTCCCTCCCTCCTTCCCTGGTGGGCAGGGAAGCACCTCAGGTGCCAAAATGTCTTGGGCTGGCCCTGCTTCTAGTGCTCTCAATATTAAAAATACATATTTCTTGTTGAAGCAGCTCTTTTTACACAGTGACTCTGAATATTTGGGGAACTGTGACCAAGAGCACTCGGCAAAAAGTTATTTTGCTTACTCTTGCTGCTGTTTCTTTTCCAGGATGCATGCAGAATGAAGCACCCCTGCTTTGTGCCACCTGCACACTTCTGAGACATTTGCTGACCCTGTGATGTGAATGGCATGGTCTAAGTGCTGTGCAACACCCACATGGTTTCTTGCTTGGAACACCATGTTCATGCACCACTCAGAAACCTGCTTTTGCAGCTCAGCTTCCATTTTCCAGCTGAGAAAGAACTTATTGGCACTAGCAAGACTAGTGCAATGAAGCATATATAGATGCTGGAGAACCATCCTTATTAGGCTAATGGTGTTCTAATAATCCAGGATTGTTGGTTAATGTTACATGAATGGGAGCTGTTGTAAGGGACATATTTCAATATCTTTCGGAATACACTATTCATCAGAATTTGATAGGTGCCGCCATCTAGCTGTGCACTGGGATAGAAAAACAGTTTGAAGTAATTTTGCAGCTTGTCTAGCTGGAATCAGTTGAAATGGATTTGTCTCTTTTATTCTTTCCTTCCTTTTTTACTAGAAATTTCATCTACTCGGAAGCATTGTTGCAAATAAAAGTCCCATGTCATTCATCAAGGGGGATGGTTGGGAGTGGGAAATGCTGCCTGCACTCAGTTGCAACTTAGAGTATCAGCTGCGATGCAACTGGTGCAGTTTGACTGGAAGCAAGTCATTGTGGCTCTGCCATTTTCATTCCATGCTGCTTTGGTACTAGGCCGAGATGCCACGGTTGCTACAGCTTGTTTGATTCTCTTGTGTGTGCAATAAGCACCGGCTACGCTCTGCCTCCACAGTCAGAGGCAATAATACTTCTGAATACCAGCTGCTGGAAACCTCAGAGGAGAGAGAATGCTCTTCTGCTCAGGTCCTGATTGCGGGTGTCCTAGAGGCATCTGGTTGGCCATTGTGGGAACAGGATGCTGGGCTAGAGGGGCCATTGGCCTGATCCAACAAGCTCTTCTAGTGTGGACTTCAAGTGCCAATGAATTTTTTGTGGCACGGTGGTGAAAGTGTGCTTACATATGGGATAGTTGTATTCCAGGTTTTGCTATCGAGATGGATAGGCTCCAGCATGGTGCTTACTAAAGGATTATTTTTTATGGTGGTGAACCTGATATGTGGTGGTGCTAGCTAAGTACAGCACAGTTGTGCATGCATGATATCAACCCCCTCATGTTGACTGCTGCAATGTGGGCGTTCTGCGCTGCTTGCCAGTGTCCATGGAGTCCTGGTGATGATGGAAGTAGACTGTGATAGCTCATAGAACTCTGACTCCTGTGTGATCTTAGCCAGGGAGCTCTTGGGAGGACTCCCACAGTTCCACTGCAACAGCCAGCAATATGGCTATATGCTATTGCTTTGTGTATTTTCTGTCAGTGCTTGCTGCCTGGGGGGGCGGGGGGCGGGGAAGAAGGTCTCGGTTGGACATGTGATGACACACTGTTGTTTCCTTGCACTGCAGAGCTGAAGGTGGACCAGCAAGGAAGAATCGAAAGAAATCCTATTATAATTTTTGCAAATGTAACCAAGTTCCTACTGTCTTTTATGTGTCATATTTCACTTTTGTTAAATATGTTTTTTATGTTACTATATAGCTGATGGTAGGAATATGTGCATTATGTACGGTGTGTAGACTTGATCTTTTTATTTTGTATTGCATTAATTATTGTCATAAGCGCAGAAGAGTCTTTTGGCAATGTTATGAGAATTGATTTTATAATATTTGTAGAGCAACTCCAATAAATGAATTTTTCACTTCTCCTTTCTATAGTCCTTTGCTCAAATTAATTTGACAATTGCCTAGGTGAGTGTTCCAGTGGCACTGTAAAGCAATCCAGGTGCCATTCCTCTATACACTTTCCTAGAAGTAAGTCTCATTGTACTCAGTGGGACTTACTTCTGAGTAGACATGCTTAGGATCGTGCTGTAAAAATGGCTATATTGTGCACAACGGTTGCAGAAAGATATGCTTGGTGCTGGGCAGCCAAGGAGTCCCTTAACTGCTGCAGGTTGGAGGTGGGACATGATGCTTTTCTCACGGTCTTCTTCTTCTTCATGAGCCACAAACCATTCATGTGGAAAACATTTTCGAAGGGGACAAGCTTTCTCTCCCCATACATAACCCATTGTTTTACCCACTTGCCCGTCACTAGAACAAAAATGTGGGAGAGAATCCCACACTTGCCTGGCTATGTCATGATGGCAGGCATAAGGCAACAGTTTTGCAGTCACAGCCTCAGTAAAGTGTTGCTATAAATCTGATCTATTCACTGGTGAAAAAGAGGAATATGGGAATGCTTTTTAAAATGGCACATAGGAAGCTGAATAGTAAGCTGCCTTATGCTGAGCCAGACAACTCCGGCCAGCTCAGTATTGTCTCTGCTGGCTGGCAATGGCTCTTCCAAGATTCAGGTCGGTCTCTCCCAGCCCTAGGATTGAAACTGGCACCTTCTGCTTACAACACCCCTGCTGCACCACTGACTTGTGGTCCTTCCCCTAAATGCAACATGATCCCTTGGCAATTATTGTTGCCTTGGTGATGTTTCCTGGGTAGATCTTTGAAGACTTTACAGATCAAAATAAATGTAGATCAACAAGGCTATTAATAGAGCAGCTGTCGCAATTACTGTAGACATTAGAAATATGGCGGGTGGGTCCATTTGGCTCTGTGAGCCTCTGGAATTTAATCCCATTTAACTTGTAGAAGGGTGCAGTACATGCCTTTGGCTGCATATACTTAACTGGCAGCAAGTCCAAATGAAAGCAACGGGACTTCTGAAAAGCCAGGCTTTGGGCTGGTGGTGCTTGGATGTTAGAGTTGAGAATTAGACATCTATGTTCAGACCACAGAATTAAAGCCTTAAAACTATAGAATAAGGATGTAAAAGTTTTATAGCAGTCCTCAGGATTTTCACCCTGAAAATTGTTCTGCTACAATCAATTGGTCAGAGCCAGAGTATGTGATTTCAAGTGTTCAGCCAAATATGTGTAACATACTTTAAAGAAAAGCATGCACGGAGCTGAATGTATCTCTTTTTCCAGAATAGTGAGCCAAATTTCATAAATTTCACTTAAAGCTGCACTAATATGGAATATCCTCTACAAATCCTTTCTTGAGAACCTCTTTAACCCAACTAGGAAGGAAATGGGGGATCTGGTCCTGTAACATGTCTCAGACAAAACACTCAATTGACTCCCTTGGGGGTTTTGATTAAGCACTTTAGAAATATTAGTCAACATTTGTCATTCAGCCTATTTCCTAGGAAAACTCCCTTTATTTTTGTTTTTTTGTTTTTTAAAGAATACTGGAGTACTGGGAAAGCTCTACAATGCTACCCTGGTTAGTTTTAGTTTCCCTGTTGATGTTCCATTTTCCAACACACATTTTCCCCCCAAAAGACAGAACTGTTGAAGATGTGTGTCTGTGTAAACGAAGAATAGGGATCTTTTGGGCATCCAGATGAGGATGAACTGCAACTCCCATCGCCTCTGACCAGTGGCCAAGCTGGCTGGGGCTTGTTGGAGGGCCATAGGTTCCCCACCCAAGGTTTAAGCAATGGAAAAGTCAAACACAAAAAGCATACATTCCATTCAACTTGAACATTGTGGCTCTCATGGCTGATCTCCCAGCCAACACAAATTCTGCATTTTTGAAGGTTCCCTGTTTCCTTACAATTTCTTAAAAATTGCAATGAATGAAATATTATGTCAGAGATAGTCATAGTTCTTTCTTCTGTTAGGCTGTCTGATGAAGACATCTCATGTTAATAAGACTGGGCACACATTTATTCTACCGACAGTTATCAATCATTATTCCAGATGGCCAAAAAAAGCCTTATGAAACTGAAGACTCAATTGAACTTGAGTGAAGTTTTCAGGAGAATGGAGAGTAACACTTACATTTCAAGAGGTTGACAGTTTTAATACAAACTGATACTTTGTTTTAAAGAGAGTCCCTAATGGTTAGACGCCAATTCAAAAGGTAACACCTGTATAGGATTTCTAATCACATTTCTCATACTCTTGGGTTTCAGTTTCCTAATTAAATCAGTGATAAAACCAAAGGGGCCCTACCCCTATAACCAGATAGATCCATTCACTCTGAGAGGGGAGGGGTTATTGTTGGCATAAGCCTGAAAGCAGAATTTATAATAGGTTTCAGATGACTCTGATCCCAATTCACATGAAAGAGTTTGTAACAGGCAAAATACATTTGGAGCAACGGTGGCCGAAAGATGGAGTGCATAGATACCCTTGCACTTTATGTGAAATACTATAGCCATTATTCATTGAATATAAATGTACCTGTTGTCTCCTGCTTTCTGTTGCCAAATTTTACTCGAGTGTGTGCACACTTTGTGTTGTTTTTTGTGCAAATCTTTCTGCTTTAGAAACTTAGTGACACACAGATGTCAAATAGCTTTTATTATTGCTAAGTTGCATTAGAAAAAGCAATGCAAAACAGCAGCACTGTGCCTGACATATGTTAACATGTTTATTTTTTTTATAGGGACTTAAGAGAAAACTACTGCCGCAATCCAGATGGAGCTGAGGCACCGTGGTGTTTTACTACCGACCCAAAAACTCGCACTGGCTTTTGCTTTCAAATACCAAAATGTGATGCACCAAGTGAGCAAGGTAACTTCTACTAGGAAGATAAGAATATTCTAAAGTATTGTGGAAGAAACCATACTATTCTGTGGACAAATTAAATATTTTTTTTAAGAGAGGCCACCACAGACTAAGAGTAAAAATTTCTGTCTCTGTACCTGGATATTTGGTTTGCAAATGTCTCTAATGTAATCTGGTGCTGTGCTGAAAATCACCCCCTATTGAGGAGAAAAAGCAGGTAGAACCCCAGGTGTGGGCAAGGAGCGGACCCGAGGGCTGCCTTCCCCATCTGTCGGCTCTGCCCTTGGCCTGCATCCCCAGTCACCAAAACTCCTGATAGGCGGCACAGGCTTACGCCCACACCACCAATCAGGAAGGGGCTCTGATGCCAGGATTCCCTCGTTGGGGCCCCAGTGAAGCGTCTGCCGTCTCACAACACCGCCCACCGAAAAGGGGGGGAGCGGACTTCTATGATTTTCTCAACCATTCTGCATCAATTAATGAGAAAGAAATTACATTTGAGAATAATGAAAGAGGCAGGAAATTTCAGTCAAATGCTCGTGGAGGGTTTGTACTTGGGATGGTGGGTTTGTGTTATACTTACCTTACTTTTGAGGTTTGTGAGTGTCCTTTTTTCCATTCTACAAGCAATCTCTCCAGTGAACTGCGTTCTGCAGTTTTCTCAGGTGGCTTCAAGGTCAGTCTGAAAGGCCCAGCCTACTAAATCAGCACCTCACACTTTTCTTTTTAAAATTCCACATCCTGTGATTCTGCTTCACAACCAAAATGTAGCAGAATGGTGCAAGACTATTTGAAGTGACAATGTCAAAAGTGTTGCAGATGTGAAACTTATTCACAGCATATGCAAAGTTGTGAAACGTTTTCCGAATTAAACCAAAATGTACATTTCAAAGATGGGAATATTTTTACTTGAGATCAGCTGTGAGCTTGTCCTTTGCCTTGTATGGGGATGAGTAACTACAGCATTTATCTATCCTTGCCAGAATCCAGGACCTTTTCCTTGACTAGCTTAAAGTTCCATTTTATAACCTTCTGAAAACATCTGGATTTAAACTGCAGAACTAAAGATACATTGGCAGCTTTTACATATGTTAATGCATTGGGCGACCTTGTCAAGTTCACAGTCAACAAATTACCATTTGAACTGAAAAATTCCCAGTACATCTGCAATAGATATTGAAAGCAAGTTACTTATTTACTTTTGAGTTACTTATTTATATCTTTAAACATAATTATTTAAAAGATTCAAAGAGCTCTTGTCTTCATGTACATTAGCTTTCTCTTATGGCTATGTTTACTGGCCCTGCTTTTGTATGTATTACCTTCTAAACAGCATGCTGAAAAAACTGGATTATATTTAATTAACAGGATATTTAGAAAAACCAGTAACACTGATATTTTAGTAGCTTCTTTTAAATGACTGTTCTTTATGTAGATTGCTATCGAGGGAATGGGACGAATTATATGGGAAATATGGCCCAGACCCGCTTTGGCTTAACTTGCTCTATGTGGGATAAAAACATTCAAGACTTAAAAAGGTATGTACAAAATTAAAAGGAAATTTTTTTTTTCCATCTCAATCAGTAGAGAAAGTTGCAACATGTTGTTCAAGTGGCTTCCATGCTTTTTACTAAACATTTTTTACAGTGCCTTCAAATTAATTCTTTTCTTTCTTTTCAAGATGGTATGCTTATAGATGCACTTATACCCCTGTTTGGAGAGTAGAACTGGGATGAACTCATCTCATTTTATATAGACTCCCTCTCACTCTTTTGCTTCCACTATTCAAGGGGTTTTTCTTATCATTTCAGAAGAAAAGTGACTACTTAATCTAGTGAAGTCTGTCACAAAACCAAATTATTTTCAGGGGCTTTTATATGATCTACTGATGTGGTGGCACTGTGAGAAGTCTTCTTCTGGTGCTTTTGCAAGAGTTCACAGACCAGTGTCAATTCATTTTGGGTCCAATATACTTTTTTCAAAAGGCAATTGCAATAAAATTAGATTCCAAGTTCAGTGCACAGCTTGCAATTTCATAATAAATTGTGGTGTTGGGAAAGATAAAGACATTTTCAGGAGAATCTTCAACTGTTGTTTTGAAGGTCTGGGGGGGGGGGGAGATTAGACTTGATTTTCCCATTATTTTACTTGGATTTGAGGGTTTCCTGCAAGCTGTATGTTCTATTATTCCCTCACATGAACTGGAAACAGAGAGCTATGTTTTAGTACTCAACAGTTTCCCACAATGCTCTGCTCTTTCTCATGAAGCCTTCTGCTTATCAAATGAGCTTTTCTGGTTAATTTCCCCCACCATGCCTTAGGGGAAATTTCCTATACTATTTCTAAACCCCATAAGCCTGAAATGTGAATGCCGTCACAGCACAAATTGCTTGGCAAATATGTCCATTAATAATCAGAAAATCGACTTGTGTTCATACAAGCTTATTAAAGTACATTGCTGGCATATATTTTCTTTATAGGCATCTACCAATATATAAAGAGCCAGATATTAGCAAGTTGAAGAAAAATTATTGTCGTAATCCAGATGATGATGTTCATGGTCCTTGGTGCTATACAAGTGATCCTCAGATCCCCTGGGACTACTGCCCTATATCTAGATGTAAGTGCTCAGTATAAATGATAGGCCAATGTTGTTACAGAATTGCTGGAAGTGGGAAAAAGTCAGGAGGGAGCATATATAGTTCTGTACTCTACCTGATAAATGTGATAATTTAAAAAAAAGGCTTCAGATGCTGATATTGGTGAGAATGGGGTGGGAAAAGTTGATCAACGTGGAGATAGTACTAATTTATCTAGATAAGCTTCGAAATTGGCAAAATGGAATGAAAGCAAGTCCTTGTTTGGCTAAAATTGTGTGCATAAACTGAAACCAACAGAAAATTTTCCGAGAATATTGTCAAGTGACATTCTACAAATTATGGAAGTCACCATTTCCCCCTTCAGCATGCCTTAGATATAGCATCATTCTGGTGTGGGGGTGGGGGTGGGGGGGAATGGTAACTAGATTGAGGTTCTTTCTCCAAATCAACCCTGAAAATCCACTAAAATTAACTGCCTATAAACATGGTGGAAAAGTAGGGAGGGATATTTTGGCTAGCTCCTAGGATAGATCTTCTGTTTGAAAGGCTATTGCATCCCCTAAAGAGGGATGCTGTTTCAGATTATAAATCAAATAAATGTTTAGGGTTCTTATTCTTCTTGGGAAACATTCTTCTTGGGAAAATATTCATAGTGGGCGACATTATTGAACCTGTGCCACAAGTTAAGCAGAAAAATGTATATTCTTCAACATACTCGCCATGTTTACAGTTTTCATACATACATTGTAGTTGTAAATAAGTTTATTTAACAAGAATAATCATGGTTTGATTATACTGCATTGTCTGTGTAGGTGAAGATGATGCCGTTCCTACAATGGGCAGTTTAGACCGTAAGTAGCGCTTATATAAATCCAATAAATAAATTCTGTTATGGTATATTAGCCATCCTTTTTCACACTTCCTGGGTGTATCTTAGGCCCACTTCATACATTGCTCATACTCATAACACTAAACAGTCCAACTTAATCTCTTCCGGGAGTCCGTTCGATTCCCGAAATGGTTCGAAAACCAAGGCACAGCTTCCAATTGGCTGCAGGAGCTTCCTGCACTCAATCGGAAGCCGTGTCAGACGTTTGGCTTCCGAAAAACGTTCACAAACTGGAACACTCACTTCCGGGTTTGCAGCGTTCAGGAACCAATTTGTTCGCGAGCCAAGCTGTTTGAGTACCAGGGTACCACTGCACTCCTCCTGAGCATGTCGAAAGAGAGGCACCGCATGAACTTGTTGCTTTCCTTGAGCTTTCTGCAGCTTGCCCATTTAAGCACTAAACCATGATTAATAATACTGTCAAAGTCTATTAAAGAGTCTGAATATATGCTGCAAGTGGTCCTTGGGTCCTGGTTTGTCCTCCTGCTCACAGCAAAAACCACATAACAATTTCACACTGCTATTTATGATGGTAAAGAACACTAACAATTTTAGGGTGGCTTATAGACTATTTAGAGAAAAGATGCTTGTTAGTTGTTGTTTTCTTTTAATGGGAAAGTATAGTTGTATAAGCTGTTCAAAGTCTTAGGTCTAAAGTGGAATATAATGTAACCTAAGAACATTCTTTCAGCTGCTGTTATCCCTTGTGCCTCAACAAAACACCTGAGAGTTGTTAATGGAATCCCTACTCAACCTGACAAAGGATGGATGGTTAGTTTGAAGGACAGGTAAGACTGTATGTGCTGCCCTTTAATGTGTGGAATCCAACCCTCCCTTCCTTCCAAGACCTTATTTGGTCATTCAGAAGAACATAACAATAATTGTGTGATAGAGGAGCCACACATATTCACCCCCATGCCCTCCTCTCCCCATGGCTGTCCACGTAGTGGAGCGACCTGTTGAATACACATAAACTGTCCCTGTGAACTGAAACCCTGAACGAATGTTAATGCAATTACCGTCATGTGGTTTTGAACATTCGGACAGACCTATTGTCTCTGATTCTCCGTTTTAGGGGAGAAATGCTGAATTTCTAACTGCACATTAAGTAACAAGTTCCCTACATTGCTTCCACAAGACATCATAAGTCTCACACTTATATATTCCATTGGTTCTGAGAGCAGGTCTCAAACTCGGGTGGGCCACATCCCAGTTCTTGCTCACTCAGTCCTTTGGCCTTTGTGGTTAACTAAATGATCTCCATTACCCTGATTAACAGCACACTCCTTAGCAGGTCCACAAAAAAGTAAGTCTTACTGAATTCAGTGGGGCTTCCTTCTTAGATAAATGGGGCTAGGATTGCAGCCCATGGTGGTTTTGTGTTAGCAGAATCATTTATGTTGGTATCAGGTGGGGCATCCTATTTTCACTCAAAGGAAAGGAGAAAAATCGCAATATGCCATAAGGTATTTTATTCAGAAACAAGCCCAATGCATGTCAGCCTTGTATATTTTAGACCTTCATGGGGGTCAGAATGCAAAGTTGAAACCAGCTGCAGAGCTCTCTGGTAACAGAAGCATTTCTTTTTCTTCTTGTTGATTGATTCCCTTTGTGGGTCTATTTTGCATGCCGAGTGTTTATTGATATTTATCCCATTTTCACTCTCTCCTCTGGGCCATAGATGATACTCTTCCAAATGGCACACCAACCTTAGGAGAAGCTTCTTAGAGGCGTTGGGGGGGTGCAAATTGGGTAGAAGAGATAAGCAAAAAAGAGGTGCCCTGCCTTGCACAAAGGGAGGTGCCTCTGTGCATTTCAAGCCACTACTGGATAGAACCCCAAGAGCAGAAGACACTTGGGCCTCAAGCTTCTCTTTCTTTTTAAAGCAATGCACAGAAGCTAAAACAAAGCTATACTTGCTGGGGGAAGAGGAATCTTGTTTTCATGCTATGGTACAATGGCAAAAGAGTACGGTTGCTATCGATACATTGACCTGGGTGTGGAGGGGGAACAATTTTCTGGAAGTCAGCATTGCATTGTTAGGCAGCTAGCTTGGAGGAGGGCTGGGGAGAAGGCGTCACTGCTCCTGGTCTGCTTCCACAGGCATCTGGCTGGCCACTGTGAGGACGCTGGATTAGATGGGCCAGGGGCCGGATCCAGAGGCTCTTCTTATGTTAGTTATAATAAGAACAATATTGGTTTGAATTGTATGCAGCTGCTTATGACTACAAGTAACTATTTCAACCTTTTCCTCCAGCAGAGGCAGGCATTTCTGTGGAGGTTCATTAATAAAGGAAGACTGGGTCCTGACAGCAAAACAATGTTTTCCTTCTCGGTAAAGTAACTTTTTATTACTACACAGTTAGTGTAGAAAAATAATTTTATTTTTAAGAGCTTGTGGTAGGAATCTCTCTGTTGCAACCTAGCCCTCTTTGTATAACTATAGCCTTTATAAAGTTGCATTCTGCAACAATTATCCTTTTCATATAATTAATATTACCACACAATTGATTCACCTAGGTGGTGAGGCGGAGAATACCCAAAACTTCTATTCTGTTTAGTCAAGAATCCAGATGCAACTTGGAGCTTTCCAAGAATTTGACCTTGTAGCCGTAAACTACTTTGGCAATTGCTCTTTGAAATGTGTTGTACTTACGTTAAGCTGTAATTGAAACCAGGAAATGTAGATTAGGGTATGTGAAAATAAGAAATAAACAAGCCCCATCCTCCACAAAAAGAATTAGTTTACAGTTTTCTGCTGGTTCTTATTATCCCAAATCTATTCCCTACCAGATTGCATCAGTCACAGTTTCAGTGGTCTACTGCATTTGAATATGTATTTAGAATTTATACATTCAGAATACCACGTTAGACATTTTTTGTCACATTGTTAACAGATTTTAAGTAAAGCAGCAGAATTTTATAATGTAAAAAAAAAATCATGTATTAATGTAATTAGTGTTGCTTGACCAACAAACAAATGGTTCATAGAATCCCAGATTCTAGTCCAACCCCCTGCAATGCAGAAATCTCAGCTAAAGATTCAGATGAACTCTTTCAAAAAATCTCTTGCAGTTTTAAACTTCATTGGTTCTAAATATTTGCCATTTCCTTTGTGTAATAATACAAATTCCATTTCAACCAACAGAAATGAGAAGTGTTTTTATTTGAAATGGGCAATGTTCAGCCTAGGTTGGTCTATCAGAGTGAATGGGGCTCTTCCCCACAGTGGCGTTGCAAGGGGCTGGGGGCGGTGCACCCCAGGTGCCATGTCTGGGGGGGGGGTGACAAGAAGGCACCCCGTGGTGTGCTCGCCCCACCGCCCCGGGCGTGGCGGCGCAAGCAACCATTACACCACCGCAGCTGCATGCGGAGGATCCTCCGTTCGCGGCTGCAGCCACAAGCAGAGGATCCCGCCACCGTCTGTACATCATTTGAGCGGTGCCGGCAGCAAACCACTACATACAACGCATGCGCGGTGTCGCACGCATGCACGGTATCTAGCAACTCCACACATGCGCAGCCAGTGGTTTGCCATGCCCCGGGTGTCGGTTAGCCTTCATTCGCCCCTGCTTCCCCACCAACCTCAGTCTGTCCTTAGCCAGCCCCCACCTGCCTACCTTCTTCTGTTCAGAGAGTGGCATTGCCTGTCAACCTTCTCCAGAAAGAGAGGAGGTACCTAGAACCTGCATCTTCCCTGTAATTATACAGAGGATCTGAGAAACTTTGGGTCAGGCAGCTAAGACGGCAGCTAACAAACTTGCATTTTGACATCAAAACAGATTGGCCAATGGTAAACAACAACAACAACCCCGATAGCAAGCAGGAAGGACTAAGGACTAGAAGACTAAATTAAGTAGGGATGCAGTGAGTATTGGACCCCTATCAAAGAGGCTCAACAGCACACCGTGGTCTTTCAAACTGACAAAGTGTTTTCATATTGTATTTATATTTAGCCCTGGGCAGGCAAGTCAGCGGTCTGATTTGCACAACACTTTAAACCATAGTGATAATAATAATAGTAATAATAAGTTATTATTTATACCCCTCCCATCTGGCTGGGTTTCCCCAGCCACTCTAGTGAAGCTTGACTATAGTTCAGAGATGCACACGCAGCATTCTGGTGCATGGGATGAAAATCATGGCTGCTGCTTCCCTCCTCCGCCATTCCTACTGCTGCCACACTGCTTGGGAGATAAACCATTGTTTGGCTTGTGGTATTTATCTTCTAGAACAAAGCAAAAGCTGTAACCAAGGTTTGTTTTTGGCTTACTGTCTGTGGCTTGTTTGGAGGAAACAAACTGTGAGCTTGGATTCAGATACAGTGCTGAGCCAAACTGTGACTTGGCTCCTGGCAGTGTAGTAGGGGCACGGGAAGAGTGAAGCAGCCATGATTTTTGCTCTATGCATCACCACGCTGCATGTTCACCTTTGAACCACAATTAAAGGTTTGAAATCTGCCCATGGTAAACTGATCCAGAGAGCGTAAAGCCACTAGCCCACTCCAAGTGTTGATTGATTTGGACAGAGAACCACAAACAAAGCGCCATTGAATTTTCCTTCCTTAGGTATAATCTCAAGGACTATCAAGCATGGCTTGGAATACATAATGTTGAAAGAGCACACGAAGAGAAGCATAAGCAAGTTCTGAATATCTCCCAGCTGGTATATGGTCCCAAAGGATCAGAACTGGTATTGCTGAAACTTTCCAGGTCAGTTGTAATCATGCTTCTTTCTTTGCAGGTTTGTGTTGACAGTTGTGCACTTCTTAGATGGCAAGAGACTTTGCTACTGTATATAATACAATTCCCAAGTAAAGTGACCAGAGAACTTGCTTGCAATGACTACCTGTGGATTTTCCCAATTATTTTGAAAGAGTGTTTCGAATATGATATTTGTTCTGAAAGATTCAGTCAGCTACTGTCATCACCAACACTTGATCTTAACTGTCTGCTAACTGGGTCCTACTGAAATGTGCATTCATTTTAACATCTGTCTCATTGATTCACTGTTGAGGTGATTACACAATAATTGCACATTGCACATCATAACATGTGCTCCTCCACGCGCTTGTGAAAATGTCCTCAAAACAATAATTCCAGAAGGCAGTTCTACTAGACAGATCTCCAAAAGAAATCCCTGGACAATAAGCAGGTAGAAAAATATATATTTTCCTGAAAAGAATCCCAGTTTATGAGTTCTACTCAAGTTATGCCAGCTGATGGACAGTAGCAGGGACGGGGAACCTCCCCTCCCCCTCCACCACAATGGCCGCATTTCCTCATGGGCATCCTACCTGGTGGTGCTGTCAGGAGCTGGAGTCAGGATGAGGTCAGCAATAAAAAGCACAGGTGTCTAAGGCCCCTTCCCAGATTCCTTCCCCAGCAACCTAAGGCTCTGTCATCTTGTCTCTTTGCTCCAATCAACGGTGGCAACTTGAATAAAATATTGGGGGGGGTAAGCCCCACCCCATGTAATCAATCACATGACATGGCACACACACACAAATACCATTTGAATGGCAATGCCCATGAACATCGGGGGCCCTGTCCCCTCAAATATTTTATTGGTGGGAAGTCTGAAGACCCCTCAGTCCCTAGGAGTTGGCTCCTATGGCTCCAATACAAATAGGGATGTCCTGCTATCTCCTCTAACATTTCTCTGATGAAAATAGAGATGTCCTAAGGAAAAGCGGAACATTCCAGGATCAAATCAGAAACCAGGGTGGCTTCTGTAAATCTGGAACTGTTCCTGGAAAATAGGAACACTTGGGGGGTCTGCATGTAAAGAAATTTGCTGTAGAACTTTCAGTCTGTGGGCTTCAAAAAACAAATTCTAGAATATATCTTAAGTCCTTTTGCTGAACTTTAAACTTTTTGAAAAGTTGCAAGTACATGTCTGTTCACTTGATCTAGCTACTGAAATTGTTGTGAGTATGAACTCTGCTTTAAAAGGGCTGGTAAGAATAAGTATACATCTGTCTTTATATAATCTCTTCCCAGGCCAGCAGTAAGCAGTGATGCTGTGGCTATCATCAGGCTGCCCATTTCTGGATGTACCATTCCGGAAGGCACTACTTGCACTGTTTATGGATGGGGACATACAGGAAGTAAGAGCTTTTATTCTGAAGTAGAACATGCACTGGGATGCTGATAACCACCTGGGTTCCCAGTTTGTGTGGGTTCAAGTATTATAGGAGGGTCCTACTCAGTGCTTTTTTTCTGGGGGTACACATACCCTGAAACATTTTGTGAATCTAAGTTTGGCCCCATTGAGGAGCAGTATTTCAATATGAGTAGGAAAATGAGAGTACCCCTAAACATTTTTTAGGGGGGGGAGCACTGGCCCTGCTTTTTAAAAATTAACACTGATTTGGACAGAGTCACTGCTGCTAAAAGTGAAATGATGAAGCCAATTTGAAGGTTCCCACGGGGTGTGGGTGTGTGGAGAGTAGAAGGAGTTTTGAGGGAAGCAAAAGGATTTTTCCAGAAGGCTACCAAAATTTCCCTGGGGATTCCAGTCACCCCTAATATATATATGATTATGCAAAGCAGCAGCAACAACACAGAGATGACCAAATGGTTGTCTTATTTATCGTACTTTAAAAAGTTGGCCCATATTTTTCCTCCCAAACTGTTGTCTGGCCTCTGTGTAAGAATAGCCTGCTAGATCAGGCCAGTGGCTCATCTAGAGTTCCTCCACCAGACCTGGACTTCCAGCAAGACATTCAGTGCTGGAGAGAGGGAGACGTCATCCATGCCACATGCACAGCACGCCTTCCGCTGCACCACCTGCCTCATAAACTCATACCTGAAATTTTTGATTAACTAACCTGCCAGTAGGGGGAAAGTATGGCAGGTTGTGATTTAGTTGTGTGTGTGGTATGGAAAAATCTGTTTTGCTGCGCTCCTGGCATTTATCAGGTGTCATCAGGAAGCAGTTCAGTTAACTTGATTTTATTTTCTGCTTAGCTTTTAATTACCGTATATACTTGAGTATAAGCCAACTTTTTCAGCACATTTTTTATGCTGAAAAAGCCCCCCTTGGTTGATACTCAAGTGAGGGTCCTTTTGGGCTGCTCCTTCCTCCTCCCTCCTCCTCCGCCTTTGCCGCTGTCGGCGGTGGCGGCGGAGAAACAAGCAGCCCATAAGCAGCCCTTTTGGGCTGCTTGTTCTTCCTCCTCCGCTGCCGCCATAACCAGGTTTGTGGTGTGATGAACTGCCCTATACTTGAGTCAATAAGTTTTCCCAGTTTTTTTGTGCTAAAATTAGGTGCCTCAGCTTATATTCGGGTCAGCTTATACTTGAGTATATACGGTAAGCATATTGTTCTGGTACCTAGTCAAATGACTTCAGTGGAATTGCTTTTGAGGCGATGGTTTTAGAATTACAACTTTATATAGACTTAGTCTGATTTATGCCTCATGGTAACATCTCTCTCAAAATGTACATTAATTCTTTTTATTTTTTTAGCAAAGTCAAACTCTGTGTTATGCTTCTTTATTTGAACCAATATAGCATCAATATTTGGGAACTTGTTTTTTGTTAGAAAAACATTATCTTTACTGTTGAAGAGAAAGCAAACAACAGCATATTCTCATTTCTGCTTTTGGGTTTCAGATGCACCCTTTGATGGGAGACTTCGAGAAGCAAATATGATCATCATGGGAAATGAGCGCTGCAGTCAAGATTTTGGAACAAATATAGTTGTGAAAGAGTCAGAAATGTGTGCTAAGGCTGAGAGCATTGGCAGTGGAACTTGTGAGGTACAATTCTGTTGGCTTATTTACTTATATCCTACCCTCCTTCATGGATTTCCAGGAATCTCTTTCTGCCCATTTTATCTTCAAAACCATACTCTGATATTGGTCAGGTTGAGAGATGATAACTAGCTGGATGTTACCTACTGGGCTTCACAGCTGAGAAGGGATTTGAACCTTGATCTCTCTAGTCCTAATCACACTCTCAAACCTCTACACAACATTGGCTCAATGTAAAAAATGTTAGAAATCTGTAGAATAGCATCTTACATCTTCTTCCCTAGAGTTGTAATATTAAAAAACTGAAACTGGAGGCAAGCAATTGCTGAAGTTCTTCTTACTAGAGTACTTGGGTCCACACCCAAACAGAGCCTGTTTTGATGCTGAACCCTAATAAGAATCGCTTAGCCTATATTTTGATAGAATTAGTTACATAGGTACATAATGTTCTAGCACCAATGAAATTAGTGAAAGCTTTGCCTTTGATTTCAGTGGAGCAAGTTTAAATTGCAATGAGGCATTTTTCTTATAACCTGCTGAATGGATTAGGATGGTCGGTCACCTGACGACACACATCTTGTAAGGCATACATGAGATAGTTTTTACTTTTTGCTCTGTAACAATATAGGTATCTTTCTATTTATTTCGTTCTTTTTTCTTTCCTTTCTTTGTAGCGGGATTATGGCGGTCCATTGGTCTGCGAGCAAAACAGAAGTAAAATAGTAATGGGAGTGATCATTCCTGGGCGTGGATGTGCAAATCTCAGGCGACCTGGGATTTTTGTCAGGGTGGCCTACTACACCCGATGGATACATAAAATCTTAATGACGTTCAAATCATAGCTGAACATTCCAGCCAAGAAAGCAAATTCCAGTTGTTGGAACATTTTGGGAAGGAATGAAATCAAAGTGTAATTGAAAGTTCTTTGATTCTTTAAACAAACAGCAACCATCAAGTACGGCTTGATAGTCAAGTTTTGCTGATATTTATGGATATTTCTGTCATGTTGAGTCTGTCGGTGCGTTATATGAACTGTAGTTTAAGCAAGTATGGTGACCTATTTCCTGATAATACTTGAATGGGAAAGCAGAATTTCAAAATGTGAGTGCTGGATGAAGATGGGTTCTGTGGAATTAGAATGCCCAATTTCTTATATGCTGCTGGTTACGTCAGCTGGTTGATGAGACATGAACATAATTTGAAATTTACAATATTTTTCCATACTTATGTAAGCCTCTTAATACTTCTTTAGGACGATGATAAATGCATGCATCAGCCAGAATTGATTCTTTCTCCTACTAAAAGCAAAATGGAATTATATTTCAATCCCCTTTGTAAACAGTTGCTTGGATTTATAACCCAGTTTAGTTCCACAAGCTACAATATCTGATTTTGGAGGGAATCACTTGCACAAACTGTTTATGGGATTTCACTGTATGTTCTCAGTTTTACACTATTAAAAAAGAAAAGAAAAACCCTAAATTAATAGGGATGCCTAGAAGATGTTTGATAACAATTTATAAGCCATAATTACTATTGTATTTTTGAACTAGTTAGGTTTTCTATACATATTTGCAATAATCTAGAGGAGTCAATGAATGGGTTCCAACAAGCAAAAAGCAGTGTATTTTCTCTCAGTGGGTAGGCAGGGATCCAAAGATGTGTGCAACTAATTGTTTGTGCCTAGTGGAGTTCTTGATGTGCTCCTTGATATTACTCATCTACCATACTATGTGGAAAGTCACTTTGGATCCTAGAGATCTTTCAAAAAGCAATTTGTGCTATGGTGTGCTGAGGTGGGGAGTTTTGTATTCAAAGGAAAGAGGGAGACACAAATCCTAGTAGGTCTGCCCAGTACAAAGCTCCTAATACACCAGTCATGTTATTTTGGGGGCACACCTTGCTCCCAGTGGTCTTACTCTGCAGCATAATGGCTTATTGAGATGAAACTACATGTTTCGCCTCTGCCTCATGTCTTTAAAGGTTAGCCACTGCTTCTCCATTGCAGTGTATGGCTCTTTTATTAGCAGCAGGAAAAAACCTGAAGGTTGTGTAACCTTCCCAACAATATCTCTCAAAGGTTCCTCTCCCACAACCATAATAGACAGAAGTCCGGATGAGCCCTAATTGCCCATTGAAAAATGTCTCCTGCCTCAGGGATACTGGCTGTTCAAGTGAGACTGAGGAGGTGATCGGCTCCTCATTCCCTTTACTGTTCTTTGTCACCTAGCTAGCATATCAGTAACTGATATTGTCAAGCAAATGAGTGACACACCACATCCCAAAAACCCAGTTCCTATTGTTCAAGGCATAGCTTGCAGGGTGTGGCTGTGATTCCACTACCAGCCCAACCCCACACTTGGCACATAAAAAATAACTAAGAATGCAGTTTGTCCCTTTGTGTGGATTGATAATGAAAAATATTAAGCATTAACAGGATGGTAAGAAAAGTAACCACTTATTATAATGCTATAATCTATAATATAATGATGTTATTACAAAAATAAGTGCACCAGACTCACATTTTAACACGCACACAATACAAGTAATACCCATTTTTCTTACATAAATAAATATCATAGGTTCACAGTGAGGTGTAAGGCAATGACATCACTTTCTGTGTATGCACAGAAAGTGACGGGTTAAAGGCTAACATAATCACCTGAACAGTGAATCAATGAGACAGAAGTTAAAATGAATGCACATTTCAGTAGGATCCAATTAGCAGACAGTTAAGATCAAGTGTTGGTGATGACAGTAGCTGACTAAATCTTTCAGAACAAATAGCATATTCGAAAAACTCTTTAAAAACAAATGGGAAAATCCACAGATAGTCATTGCAAGCAAGACTGCTTCATAAAGAGAGCAGACAAGCAGACTATGGGCAATTCAGTGCTTGGTTTGCTTGCAGTGAATTTTGCCACCATCCCTGGTTAGTTATCCAGGATAAGCAGTAAATTTCCTATACAGAATGGAATTGCAGAATGCATGGAGCTGCGTTTACAGCTACATACAGCTTTGAAAGAATCTCCACATTTAAAATGGATCTGCATGTCACTTCAGTGTTCAAAAATCTGTTTGTCATAATCACACTTAAAAGTAATTCTCCAAATACGTGGAAAATAGGATGTGTGAAGCAGACTTTATTTGCCTGAACACTATTCTCCTTAGTAGCAGACCAAGAAAACAAAATATAATATATGTGGGGCTTTTGTTTGCTTCTGCTGTCTTTTAGGTAAAAATGTTTATAATCACGCAACAGAACTTTTAATAGAAATAATGAATTTTTAAAAACCTACACACGTTCAAATAAAAAATGGGGTATGAATTATGAAAATGGAATTTCTGAATTTGGTGTGCATGCACACAGAGAGACAGACATGAAATATAGTATTAACATGCATTTTTGAGACTTGTACGCCTGAATTGGGATCGGACCCAACCCATAAACCGTTAACCAACCTATATAAATCCAATTGCTTCAATTTAACAGGGTTATGAAGTTGTAAGATATTGTGAAACTCTTTCCCTAGAAACTTTCTGGGTTATATCCAACAAAAAACTATGTAAGTGGAACAACTTCTGGTTGTGCAAGAGAACTTCTCTCCCTCTTCTCCCCACACATGCTCCCCATATGGTCTCAAGGGCTGGGGGAACCCCTAGACCAGATTTCAGAAAGCAGGAGATGCGTGCAGAAAGAAGAGAAGGAGGGAAGGTTCTGCTTGTGCCGTGACTTGGTTGACCGATAGATCTGCAGACACAAGCAGAGAATGGGGGGCTATAATGAAAATGTCAATCACTTTGCATTTCTATCAAGATTTATGTACGCTATGTATTATACATGCAGGCATTTTGTATTATGTATGCAAACATTTTGTTCAGTGTAATAAAAGTGATTCTAAAATATTATAAACTTCTGCTGTGCAGAAGACAATACAACTATAGATATATAGATATAAGAATATATGTGGGAGTGGGTGGGTTATACATGTAAGGCTTTCGAAAGTATTTGTTTTCAGTGAAGTCTCAGTAGAATGAATTGTACAGAGTCTATAATTTAGAACTTAATACTTCTGTAAGCTCTTGCCTATCAGGCTTTGGGGGTTTTTTTTGTTGGGTGGGGCTCATTCACACAGTACCTTTTCTGTCCTGATCATCTCCTGGTATGCACACATGTGGATAAATGTAGTATATCGACCAGGCAGTTGTCGTGTACAGTCTGTAAATTGTTTTGATCCCTTCTAATTCAGGCAACCAAGGCCCAGCAAACACAGTGTGCTTTGGTCTGGAACCTCCATGGTTTCAAAGGCTTTGCACATTACAGTTGTGACTGTTAATGACTGACTGGAGTAGTTCAAACAGCACCCAGCCTTGTGGCTCCTGGTGCAAGCTGTTGTCGTGTAATGCAGTCAGTTGCAAACAGTGTGATTGACTACTGCACTGTGAAGCCTTTGGCTCTCAGGTGTGCCAGTAATTTCTGGATCTAAGGGAGGGAACTGCTGCACAAGAGAGAATGCAAATCATGTGCAAACCTATCTGGATTTTGTATTATTTTTACAAACAGCTGATCACCCCCTCTCAAATCACAGGTCATGTAACAGTAGAATTTTAAAACTGCCCTCCATTTCGAAGAGAGTTTGCTGTCAGGCACTGGAGGGCTGTTGTTCAATTAAAAAAACAAGCCAAAAGAGCCGTTGTGCTTCCTGAGATCATTATCTGCCCCATGAGTCTGGTTTAAGGATGAGAAAGTGGTGCCCCGATACATGGCATTTAACCCATTTCCCTGGTCTAAATCCTTCCCTCTTTCAAGCCGGTCTGGGGGTGGGGGGAGCCATAAGTTTGGTCTTGTTTTTCACATGGTTCAGCAAGTACCCGGAGATGGATGTTCAAGAAAGCTTGATTGAAGGGATGGGGGGGGGGAGTGTTTTAATTGGCCCTTGGCCTTTTCCTTTTGCTAGTGTTGGAATCTGAAAAACAAATCTAGGGAAACGGAACAGCTTCTTTGCACAAAGGGCAAAGAGTTTGTGCATCATTTATTCCTGTGGATATTGCTTGTTGGTACCCATGGTACTTCACCATGCAAGTGTTACAATTGCAGAACTATTGCTAAGAAGGACACTGTCAAGGAATTATGTAATTAGTAACCATTCTTTTTCTACTATACCTCGACAACTGATGGAAAGCTCGTCAAGTGAATAACAAGTTTTCCTCATCAGTCCTGGCAGTGTAGATTACAAAGCAGGTTTCAGTTGTGTCAGTTGTTTCCTTTCTGGTGTATGTATATATATATATATTATTTTGGATTGTGTATGTGCTATTTTATTATTGTGATGAAACTCTCTCATTGAGCTTTGGAGTGTGCAGTACAACTTAGGGCAGATCTCAACTTTACGAGAAACATGAAGCGTCCAGCAACAAAAATGACAGCCTGTGTCAATTGCCTTCTTTCCCCTTAGTAAACTGAATACAACTTGCCCCATGTTCCTGCCCCCTTGTGGCTTAAATTATGTCAGGGCATGGTTGAGTAGAACAAGATGCTATAAACAAAGAAGAGGGAACTCATCTCAGGGCTGCAGTTGCCAGTGGGCAGCTCTGTGCTCCTTGGAATACGTAATCTTTTAATCTGTGGATTTTATCATTCTGTAAAAAAACATGGTGGGGCTATTGACATGAACAGATATTGGAAAAATAGGGCACATACTTTTTATTTGAGGTCAAAATCATAACTGAGCATTCATTGCTTGAAATTCATAGATGTGTTTTGCGTGTGGAACTGGGCTTGGAAGATGCAGAAGATGAATAGCTTTTCCCAAAGGGGGGAAAAATAGACATTTTCATTTATTTCTGTGTTTTTGTATTGGTTTTACTATTCACACTGCTTCAGGTGGTATTTAGAAAGCAGAGGTTTTTGCTTGCTTGCTTTTACGTTAGTGGGATTGTAGTGTCCTTTCTAACAAAAATATGAAAGATTATGGTCAGCTCATCCCCTGGGAAATCAATAGATTTCAGTTTATTTGATTTATGATTATATATTTTGCCATATTAAAAATGTTCTCTCCCCCCCATGTTTGCCAGTATATTATTGATTTGTGAATGTTGGCCTGTTGGTGAAAGGAGCCATGTTATTTCTTTTTAAAGTCATTATTGAGTGTCACTCCACTTTTAAATGGATCACAGTTTAACTTTCCTTCAATATTTTCCTCTATTCATAGATGCTGCCTGTTGATGTTAGAAATCTGTTTAACACTATGGTTCTGACTTTACAATAATTCTGTAACTAAGGGCATCTTCACTAGCCATTAAAGTTGGTATTTTTGTATCTTTATTATTATTAATAAAATATTTTATCAAAAAGCTGTGCATGCCATTTATCTGAACATTATTCAAAAACTTACAGGTTGAGATGAAAGAGCAAGAAAATTGTGCTTCTCATTTTATATTCTTCCAAGCTGGTGCAGCAGCTGTATTGACTGTGCTTGGAAGAACCCGATTTACTGGCCATAGTGAAGTTGCTACTTTCATCTTGGACAGTGGTGTCATTGCAGTTGATATTTCTCATAGAGTTGATTTGTGCGTAGAGAAAGATCCAAGATGGCAGCAGTGGTAGTTCCTGTTCTGCCTGAGATGTTGCACCAGCTCACTTCGGTAAAGTTTGAGGATGGTGGCCTGAATCCCGGGGGGGGGGGGGGGGGGGGAGGGAATGTCAACTAAGTTTTGAAATGAACTGTGTCTTATTCCAAATTTTCTATTTGTATTGTTTTCTTTATGAAACCCATACAGGCTATAAGAGCCCCCAAACCCTGAAAGTCAAGGAGAACACCATATAAAATGAATTATAGTGACGCACATTCAAGTTGCAGATTTATTAGGACCCCTTCTGACATTAGTGGATGGGAGTGTAGTGTAGTGGATGGGAGCCATTGCAGTGTTGCTCCTTCTGTGATTATAAGCTAGTGATGTAAGAATGCACAATTTCTGTTCCAACCTACGTTCCTCACTTGCAGCACTGTCTCCATTCCGCTGCAGTTTGGTTTCCCACAAAAGCCACGTTATTCGTCTTGCTGTCTGCTGTGGCAGAATCAAATTATTACATCATTCCACACCATTCATTCCAATGCAAAAGGAATGCAATGCAAATGGGATGGAGGGAATGTCATGAACTATATCTTTTGCAGACAGTGAATGCCAATCATATTTGCTGGATTTATTTGCATTCTGGACTTGTGGTGAATAAGGGAACACCAGCAATCTCCATCAGAATTCTCCATCATCCCTGTTCTAAGGACTCAGCTATACAGCTGCAAATACAACATTTTAAGTGCATTATACAAATGTGACACTAGATGGCGATGGCGAGCTAATGGCAAATTCAATATATATTTTAAAAGTTTTTTTTTTTAAAAAAAGCATTTTCACAGTGTTTTTTAAATATATGTGTAGATTCAGGCTTGGTAACATTTGAAAACACATAAATGCCATCTTCCCTACCTGCACCAATGCAGCTCCAGGAAGAACCAATCTTGCCACTAGAAGGCGGTGCAAAATGAACTACTCTCACTTCATACTTCCACTGTTAACACTAGAAACACGTGAAGAGTCAAGTTGTCACCATGATCTTTGGATGAAAAGCAGTGTATAAATTTAATAATTATTAATAATAGAAGTAACACCAGAAGAGGGGCATACTTTTTATTACTAGTAGTTTTTTCAAGTTGCTCTCTCTTACACACATCCCTGGGGCTTTATTAGAGGGGAAAGATCTCTTTCCTCCTTTCTATAAATGTTAGGTTACTTATTTATTTACTGTTGCAAAGTCCTATGTTGCCAAGACACCAGCTGGCCACCATTTTAATTTCTCAGGGGGCATCTATGTATACAAAATAACATATGCAAATGTTATATACATTTCTATCATGGGACTGTGACTGGAGTACTAGTGACACCCTGGCTTTACTCCAACTGACCTGAAGACCCCCAAACCTTGACATTTTTTTGCTTCCAGATCTTGTCTTTTCCAGAGATGGTCTGGAACAATAACGTGTATGAAAGCCATATGCTGATGAAAAGTCACATTAAATTGGAAAGCAAATTACTGCAGAGAAATGGGTGGTGAATTATAGCAAGGTGAATATAGTAGTATGTAGCCTAGAAATGAATGTCAGGCCCGATGAGCACAGCAGCTCAAGTGCAGCCAGTTTAAATCCTTCCCCGGCAGACCTGAGTAACAACTTGCTCACTCAGTGGGTCTTCCTCCATGAAATCAGTTGCTGAGACTGAAGGTCCCCACCTCCCCACAGCTGTCTATGTCTCCTCCTCTCCAGGGCTTTCCCCAAGCAATCAGAGACTGTGCCTGTGTAGAGCCAATCTCTCCTCCACTCTTTTCATGCCTCTCCTGGTTCTTGGAGATTGGTGAGGGAGGGGATCTTGTTGGAGCAGGACGGGGAGACATCTGTGACTTATCTTTGCCTCTTGTCCTCCCTCCTCCCACTTGCCAGTTTCAGCCTTCAGCTTATGATTCTTGACTTCTTTTTGCCACAGACCTTCCCAACTCACTTAACCTTGTTACCCCTTCAATTTATGATGCCTTCTCTTCCTAGTCTTACCCCTCTGACCACTCATCTGAGCCTTCTTCCCTTGGTAGTTGTCCAGCTGGTTCCACCTACCATTCCTTTGCGTCCAACCAGACCATGACATCATATGACCTGGTTTGTACATAATGCTAAGCCAAACCATGCCCGAGTTTCATTCCCGGAGAGGAAGCCCTCTGGAGCCCACAGGTTCCTAGAGAGGAAGATTACAGCCATTTTGCTCCTCCTCTGCTGTGCTGCTGTGAGCTAGGCCATGGTTTTCCTTATTGTGTTATTTGAACCTGAACTTGTGGTTTGCTCACTCCAGACTGTTCTTTGTTCACAGCTCTTGATTTGTCCAGAGGCCCAGGGTTGGCTGACACACTAAGCCAGGGGTCAGCAAACTTTTTCAGCAGGGGGCCGGTCCACTGTCCCTCAAACCTTGTGGGGGGCTGGACTATATTTTTTTGGAGGGGGGATGATGCAAGAGCACCACAAGCCCTGCTTGCTGCTTACGTGTGTCTTGCGAGCGGCAGGGGCTGGTAGCAGTGGCAGGACGATGAGCAGCGTGTGAAAGGGCTCCGGAGAGGCGCTGCTTAAAATGGCGGCCGCTTGAGCACTGCTGCTACTGGCACCAACAAAGCCCAGCCCCCTTCCTTCTCTAGGCAGGGCGGGGGGAAGCCAGGAGGAGGGAGGGAGGAGGAGGCGGTGGCGGCACTGTGTGAGGGAGAGGGAGGGAGAGGGAAAGAACGCACATGCTGGTGATCCACGCGGCAATTCCCGGACTGTCTGTGGGCCGGATCCAGAAGGCAATTGGGCCTGATCTGGCCCACAGACCTTAGTTTGCCAACCCATGCACTAAGCCAAAGCATGGTGACAGCAGTGTAGCAGCACAGCTTAGGACCAGGTAAGGAGGAAAGCTTCTGCAATTGCTCGGGGAGCCTTCACACAATCCCACAACACCATAGCTGGCCAGTGGAAACTGAGACAGTATGTTGATATAGTTTTATATTTTCATAATGTGGCAATCTGTAGCATAATAGCCCCATCACATCTGACTTTTTGAAATGTTCTTTCAGAGTACTAACAGTGTGTCTCCATATATTTAGGAACGTTATATATATATACTACGTTCCACTTAATGCTGATAGCATATTTTCATTGTCACTTGGGAATGTTTGCCACTTCAGGTTAAATGTCCAACTTGCTTCAATGATATTATGCTACAGGAACACACCGAGCAAATTTATCTGTCTCCAGTAAACCATTTGCGAATAGTACTATTTCTTTTAGGAGTGCTGCCCCTTTTTATACAGTGGAAACCTTTCTTACTGGCTCATAGCCCAATTTTTCATGTTTATTCCATAAGCACTTACGGTAATATGAGAGCCAGGTGGTAGGCATTATATGATCCATGTGTGGCCTTTGACCAAAGTCTTGTTCAGCCTCTTTGAGGCCCAGGTGATGACCACTCTCTGAAGAGAAACTGCTTATCATCCAGATTTCATTGCCTAAGCATATCTGTTCTCTCTACATTGCCAACACTTGCTTAAGTATTCTTTGGCATCTTGTATGGCAGCTGCTCTGTCTCAGCGCTGTGTTAATGGCTTGGTTTCTTCAGTTTAAACCTTTTTAAAAGAAAAGTTAGAAATGTTCCACAGACAGCTTCTACAGAAGTAGGTAACGATGAAGAGATGAAACTTGTATCCCTTTCTCCCTATCTTTAAAGCAATCAGTGCTTTAATTTTAATTTTGTAGGTTAACCTGAGAAACCCATGACATATGTGCAGCACTGTCCTTCAAAATTCATAGGATACGATGTTGTGTTTGTCAAGGATGGGGAAACCAGGGCTCCCCAGATGTTGTTGGACTACAATTACCAGCACAAGGCGTAACACATTGCAATGGTCCAAATGGGGTCAGTTACTTAGATGAGGTTTTTTGGGGGGAGGCAGTGAGTTAGGTGGGAGATGCAGAAAATGGTGACCTAATAATAACTTAGAAAAGCAATGAATACTTGGAAAAACTATGAAATCCCATAGGAGGGGCAGACTGACAGTAGCAGCAACAGCAAATACTGATCATTTTTCCTGAATTGCTTTGCATGGGACTAATAAGTGAACACCTGCAATTTCTACTTTCGTTTCCGTTTTCATCAGAGTTCCCTGACATCCTTAGTTTCCATTACAGTAATTTCCATTTCTCTCATAGAGTATTGCATTCTAGTATTATTTTGATATTATAAATCTATTTTCCCGTTCTTATTACATTAGATAAATCAAATTATCATGATTTTAAAGACAGTTTTTAATGCCATGCAAAATCAGTTTTACATAAATAAATAATTATGGATATGGAGATTTATAGTACCTGAACTCAGAGCTAAAGTTAGTGCTAAAAAGTTCGATGCTTCCTGATTCATTTACTGATTTTGTTTAAAAAAGAAACAAAACTGGAGCCAAAAATGCAGGATATTGGCTATTTAAATTTTTCTCAAGAAACTGGCTTGTTTTTAGCCTTGGAACAAAGTCTAAGGTAAAACTACAGATTTCTTTAATGTTTAAGAGAAAAGTTAGATTCTAATTCTCCTCCAAGAACAAATTATAAAACAAGTTGTAGGCCAATCTGTTAGACATTAATAAGCAAGTGGGTTTTTCTCTTTAAAAAGTCACAGCTGTGAACTGAAAGCAGAAATAGCATTCATGTGGAATACTATTTTTTCCTTATTCACAGTAAGTAGCCTTAACTAAGGTAGCTGTAAAAAGACAAAACAAAACATTAGCAAGCCTTTGACATTAACCAAATTGCCACCATACAATCAACAATGGTCCAAGGAGATGTGTCCTGAACTTTGCCTCTCTTATTCTGCATCCATGGGTCTGGCCATGAGAGCTGTCCTAGAACACAAGATGTCCAAAAACATCCCCCCAGGTTCCTATTGTTTGAACAGAAGAGTGCCACCCTCCATTTTCTGGCATGGTTGCTCTGGCCAGTGTGGCACCATCCTCATGTTGGCATACCACTGTCAGCAATAGGCAGA